TAAACTCTCCGTTATATTGCAAGGTCCATGGTTCTTGAACCATAACTATGTGTATTTCTGCTTCCCAAGCTTGCTGCAGCGCTATATCCATGTTTTGCTCACCCTTTCCCACGTTCACATGGTGAAATAGAAGGGTGCTATATTTGTGGTTAAGCCTATTAGAGTTTGGTGTATTACTCATTATCAAGCATTGTTTCTTCTGGTATGCTAATGACCTCGCGGGCCTTACCTTTTTCTTGAGATCTTAATAACGCTGCCTTAAAATCTATGTGTCCTCGCCCCCGAATAACTCGTAGCTCGGCTGGTGTACGAGGCGTTACTTGTCCATTGTATCGCCTTGGCCGGGCCATGCAGCTCAGGTGGGTTGACTCGTGCGGTCCAGCACAGTTTGAACATTTGGGTATGTTCACCGAGCATTCGGCTTCTTCATGCGTGCCAGAACACTTTTCGCACCGCTGTCTTTTGACGCAGTTCCTTGTTGAGTAGTAGCCCCAGCAGCGTTGACATTGCTCTATGGGGCGTTTACGGGAGAATGGTATAGCAGGGACACTCTCATCGAACAGCCTGAACTTCAGGTTGGCTGGTGCCTGTCTGAAGTGCACGATCCAGCTAGCGGAATAGCTGCCTAGTTTGGTTTCGCTTGGGCGCACCTGAATTGGTGTGACTCCACAAACTGCCTGGCACTCCGCCTTCGCCATTTTGCTGGTTACTTCGATCCTTCCGTCTAATGTAAGGATGCATATTGGGACGTGAGGGACCATGATCGATGTCCAATCCGAGGCGGGCTCAATTGTGATTTCCTCCTTTTGAAATGAAGGTCCTACACCCAGAATTGATTCCCGGAGTGCGTCTGATGCGCACTCCATTGCTAGGCCAGACCTAACTTGTGTCATCGCTATAATTTCTGAAGGTGCGACTCCAGCTTTCTCAGTGATGGGCTTCTTAATTGTGACAGGTGATAGCCTCCGCTACTGATGTTCGCGTCCCATGCGAACGAAGAGTCGTTTATCCTCTTTCGGAGGCTCTTGTCCGACTGGTTTTGACTGCACAGCAGGCCTTCGCTTTACCAGGTTGGCTGGCGGATCCGGGAGCTTGGCTGCTTTTCGGGCTATAGTCACCCACGGAGAAGCAGTTTCCCTTGGCTTTTAAGGGAGATCGTGATGGGGATTCTCCGCTATTTTTGTCGCCATGGGTACAGAGGTTTTTATCTGAGTACTTTCATGGGATGATTTCTTGCCTTGATGACTTGCGGCGTTGACGTTGCCTATCGCAAATGCTGTTACGATAGGTGAAATATTTTCTATTAGTGGCGCGACTAAGTGCGCGCCTTCATTTCCTGACAAGGACTATGCCCAGGCATCGATATTTTGTTGGAAATTTTGCGCTACGCTCATTCGCTGTTTTTGCTCGCGTTCCGATTGCTCCATTGCGGCAGCAATCCCAAGAAGGCTCGGGTGTAATAGGTCTCCTGGGTCAGTTGATGCCGAGGACGACGGCTGGCTGTGCGCAGCCATGGTGCTGCTTGATTTCTCGGGTATCGATGAGTGGATAGATTTATTTATTCGCGTGGAGGTGTGGTGTGTAATGGAGTTATCTAATGGAGTTATGGTTGTCGTGTATGATTTATATATGCGGCTGTAGTCGTTTTTTTTTTTTGCATCAGATTTTAGTTGCGTATGCAGCTATCTAGCTATGACACAATATCAAAGAAAAGTACAGAAAAGATGACTCAATTTATAAGAGGAGCACTCATGCCTCAGATTTCATTTGCAAGTACCACTGCGAAGTTATGGTGGCTTTTTCTTCACCCCAAGTCAACCCTCATCCGTGAATACCCACTCAGGGGAACATCTCAAAAACCCTGAGTTATCCAGACATGCCTCCGTCATCCATCAACTTTTCTCCGCGCGAAATATGATCTGAGATGTCTCCTTCCCAAGTGGAGTAGGTGCCCAGGCTACTCAGACTATACCAGAGAACACCACCAGGAGGCGGACCACAACACCTTCCATCGTTGGCTTGTTTTTATAGTGTCAGTTACACTCTCGCAAGCGAAGTCTTGGCGCGCACAAAGCTCAATTCGTAAAACTCCTGCCAAAATTCGAAATTTCACGCCCGTCGAGAATGTATCCCTCTTGTGCATCATCTTGTAAACTTGTCCTGATTCCTCTCACGTCCATCCCAAAGAGCTATCTCCCAGATTCGTGCTCCACGCTTTGCTTCCTCCGTCGGGTATAAATATCGGCGTGGGCGTGTATTTGGTGGTCAACTGAGGCCAGAGAAAGTCGACGAGAGGTATGGCCATTGGGATGAGGATGTACTATGTCGTACTTGTAGACTTGATGAAGCTTAGTTGAGAATCGGACTCTTTTGGAGTGAAAGATTGACATGGTGGAGTAATTTGAATTTTTGCCTCGTGGGCCAACTTCTTTGATATTGCGAAATTTGACTGAACTTGGCTCTGGGGGAATATTTCACTCCCAGGTTCGTAGAGGACGGCTGTAGTCGTGTTAGAGCGTTAGAGTGTTATGGATTTTGATTCATCCCTTGGACCGAGTGGTTGAACACTTGTCTCATGGGAAACGTAGGATGGCAACTCTCAGAATGTATACTCTGTCCGCGAACCATAATTTGGTGCTATCTACATGCTGCGCGGACAGAGTACCTTCTGTGGAATCCTTTGAAGGATCTTTTTTCAAGAACAGCGTCCTATCATCGAATTTTTTGGTATTAATCAATTGTATCCGCAACAAATTTCTCCGTAGGCCCTTTTTTACACGCCCTTCGCTTGCCTCATCGGCGGTGCTTCCATATGTGCACCCGATTTTGTGAAACTATTCCTCAACTTACCCCAGTGATTCCTGTTGACCTTAATGTTGTGCAATTCTCTCCTCTTCCAAAGCTCAGCACATACTATCAACGGAATTACTGCCGCTTCATCGACTAAGTCGAAGGCTCCGTAGAAACGCTTGCTAAATTCTAGCGTTAAACTTAGCAGAATGGCTATCCGTCATGGGCATCATGTCAGAGATCTTTTTCATAACAAAAGAGGATAGGAGCTTTGTACAAGATCTAGCCTGGGCCAGAGAGGAGCCCCATGTACTAAATATTTAAATTTCAGTAGGACAATAAATTCTATATAATAAGAACTAATGTCTGAAGAAAAATTTTCTCTAGTTATTTAAACCATAGTAACAGACTTTCATCATAAAATATATGTTCATTTTAAAACATCATTTTTGCCAGAAAGCTGCGCAGCGTTCCAAGCTGCCCGTATCATCAAATTGACATCCCGATCATTATTTTTACATCTTCATTACCATCCTACCATCTTTTCGCTTTCCGTGCTCCAACATGGCGAGTGTGGGTGCTGGTGTGGGTAAATCCAGCGGTTTCGACGCGTCGCAAAATGGGACAATGGCCTCAACCAACAACGGTAGCGGAGCCCAGACAGCTCCAAAGGACAGGAACCTTGAAATCCTAGGGAAACTATTGAAATAGGTCAGACTAATAGTGATGGGAGAGATGGATGAGGAGGACCTACCAACAATGGAAGACGTGAATGAAGCCGTCAAGGCATTTAATTATCACAAGAAGGCTTGGACAACGATGTCCCAGATACCATCTCCGATCGAGGAGAGGATGATGGCTTGAGAGGAAGTCGTAAAGAAAAGCTTCGCGGATCCCGCTCGGAAAGCTGCTCCAGCAGTGGTTTCGGGCGCGCCGACACCCAGGAGTTACGCGTCGGTCGAAGCTCCGCAAATGGCGAAAACGGCGGTCAGAATAAGAATCGACGGCGCACAAAACCTTGCAGCCACAAGAGCTGCTAACTAAGGCACAACAACATATCTAAGGCGCATACGCGATTCGCCAAATGCGAAGCTACGACACTGAGGTGTTCGTCCAGTCGGTGTCCCAGAGGGACGTGGCGCTAAACATGCAACAACCAACGGATTTCAAAATTCTACGGCAAGATTTCCCAGTCGAGATCGACGGTGTCCCATTGCGGACACGAATTGAAGGGGGCAGAGATGCAAACAATATTGCCATCATCAGGGAGATAGAGACGGCCACAAAGGTACGGGTTCCAGGCTTAGTGATAAGTCGTATAAAGTGGTTACACGACGGAAAGGAACACCAGTGGTCAAAGAAAAATGGCCGCTCTCGTGGATCAATTTGGTAAGCCTCCCATCGGAGGCAATGCAGACGCAAGTGGTCCGAAACGGCCTAGTCATGAACGCCATGATCTACACCGCGCAGGTGTGGTCACCACGGTCCCAGGCAAGGCAGTGTTACTACTGCAGTCAGTTGGGACAGACGCAGGCGTCGTGTGGAAAGGCAGCCAAGTGCGGTGAGTGCGCTGGCGCTCACCAAACTCGGGACTGTCCGAGGAAAAGGGTTTCTTGTGCCAACTGCGGCAAGGAACATCGTTCGTGGCAGAAAGCAGCGTGTCGGACCTACCAGGTCTACAAGGGAAGTGTGGAGAAGGCTCGGATGGAGCTGTTATCGAGAACGGCAGATATTTGGAATGAAAAACCAACAATGGCGCCAACACAAACAGTCGGACTAACTGATGATCAGGGATTCACTTTGGTCACCAGTAAGGCTGAAGGACTCAAAAGAGGGCTAGGACGACCACGTAAGGTAGTCGAAGCCCCAGTGGCACCAATCGTCGCCTCGATAGTAGCACCACCATCGGGGCCAACTCTTCGAACACTGCGAAGACCAACGCCGAGGGAGGAGGTGCCTTCTCTTTTCAATTTTTCATGACGTTAGTCTGATCGAAGGGGGAGTTAACGAATTCTGGGGAAATTTTATAAATTTATGGTTGAAAGGAACGTCCTCAGCATTAAGCCGGGTCGGTTCAAAGTGGCAGGACATAGGGTTTTGTTTGTTGAAAGCTTTTTCCCTTCTTAATATGGCTTACCGTCTTCATGGTTCTGTATATAGATACCGCATAGGATGTTAAACTAGATCAATGAATGAATATGTTCATTTTATCAATGGAGACAGTTGCTAAAAATATTGTTGAATTCTTTAGTTCTATTCATGACGAGATCTGGAACATTAGCAATATGTAGATGTATCTCTATATAATCCTTAGATTTTGCCAAAATAGCAGCAAGATGGTTTGAGCTAGCTCTTATTGATGATACTTGCATCGAAAGTATGATTTTTTCAAATAAAATTTATTAGAAGCTGTGTGAGTGCTCATTATCGAGACTTGTTTTTCCTCATAGATAGATAAACTGTCGTAAGATATCTGGAAAAATATACGCGTAAAAAGTCTTCATAAGAATTTTGAAGCCTAAATCAGTGTTAGAATTGGCGCGGGGATGGACTTACATCCGATCGCACATTTAGGTCAAGTAGTTACCCAACTTGAATATCTTCAGCACGGCATCTTCCACTTTCTTTCAATCCACAAAAATATTGGTCTCTTACACTCTTTGTCTACTTGCAACAAAAACTCCATCATTCTTGTTATCTACCATGCAGCGTTTCTGACAGCTTAGGTTCTTCTGTTCTTTAGCTTATGTTGCTGGTACTGTAGTGATTATTTTCTTAGCCGTTTCTTCTCTCAAATTAAAACTAGTCTCGCTCGATGCACACATTGCACCATAGAACTATTCCATGTTAACTTCATATAAATGTAGACTTATCTAGAAAAAATTATGTAGGACCTCAATGATCTTCGTAGGCTAAAAAATTATCTTTTTGCTTTTCAATTGATTCAATCGGTAGATTAATTTTTCGTAATTTGGTTATTCACTAAATTTAATCGATCCGCTTTCCGCATGGATTTTATGCCTGTAGTGTAAAGTTTGTGCGATAGCGGAACTGCTTGTGTACTTGTGATGTAGTTAATTGTTACTTCTGCAGTTTTAGGATGATCAAAGTATCATGTGTTGCGAAGACACCATGTTTTTTAATAAAAGCCAGTTAACGTTGGCCTGTAGCTATTTTGTTCCTTGCAATGTGGCTGCTGGTTGGTATTACACATAATTAACGTCGCATGATTTTTACGCAGACTAACTATCTGCAAGCCCGAACAGGAAAACTACAGCTTGTTTGAAGGCGCAGTACTGCCTGTAGAAATTAAACTTCGTTTATCACTAGTCAATCATACTCTTACTTGGACCTCAGATTTATTACCCACTTCTCATTAGTCAGCCTCGTACTTCACATATTTTGCCAATGAACACATTCTTTCAATTGGCAGCCATATGCCAGATTTGATGTTTCGTAGTAAAAAATCCCTATCGCCTTCAATTACGTTCAATACTTGCAAATTGTGCCCTTTGATTGGAAGTACTGCCGGCTCTAAATGGTGCCGTTCAACATAGTTGGCTCGGTGCCTCCAAAATGGTCAATTATGCCCCAGCCTCTAGGAGCAACGCCTCAGGACCTTACACTGACCCTAAGTTTGAATATACGACTTCACAAAAACCATCAAAGAAGAAAGCGGATAATGATGTTGACGGTGTTAGCGTCAATAGTAACGAGCTGAGGAAAAGTGAAGGTCGACAAGAAAAACGTGCGATAACTGATAATCCGAAGGATGAAAACTTGTACAATCTAGTAGCTATTCCGCTCGAAAAAGAACATAAAAAAGAAAGAGAGGAAGTTTTCAACAGACAAAGGTCAAGAAGTAGCCGAGGTTTTCTACTATCCAACCCAATATTCGACCATAACCCGCGGAATCGCAACTATCTAAGGGAGAAAGCCAAGACGAACAAGTATGAAGAATCATCAACAAACAGAAACTCTATTGAAGGAATAAAAAACGAGAATAATCCCTTAAATATTCCGAAGGGTTCGTCAAGTGGGGCGAACATCAAATCACAAGAAAATACACCAATTGTGGAACCAAGAAGTGTGATTTCAAAAAGCAAGCCTTCGGGAAAAAACATATCCAATTTTCTTGATGAAGAATCTACGCAGGTCGTAAATCTAGCCTTGAATTTGAGCGAGAATAGACGTAATATGTCAAAATGGGCTGCTCCACAAAATACTATTCCAAATAGCATATCAGAACTTTCAGCAGGTGTGAATCTACGTCCACGCATATACTCGCAAAGAAATATATCTGGTAATCAGCCATCAAAGAATGAACGAATAGACACAATATCTACAATATCTAATCTACATAACACGAAAATAGGTAATCCTCTCTTGGCTGCGTTTGACTTCAATGAAAATCGTGCATATCAGTATCATTTCTCTTCATCTACTCTAGCAAGAGCTGATAAAGCGAGGTCTACTATCGAATTAATGACTCAGTACAGAAAATTACTACAATTTCTTCCCCCACTTTCTATCGAAGCACCAAGAAGATCATCGTCTATCGTATCAGATTTTTCTTCAGTGCTTATGCATCCTACATTGCTGAACACCTCGGATCAAACGATCAAGTTAGGGCGGCCGTACAATCCCTTGCAATATATTCGAAATCGTAAATTACGGGCCCGTCTTTCAAGATCTATTGACGGAGAAGCACAAGGTTTCGGCGATATTAAAAAGGTTTCAGCCTGGGTAGAAGATGTAGTCAAAGCAGTGTGTTCTGCTGGAGCTCAGAAATATGACCAAACGGCTATCCTGGAATTTCCTGGGATAGACGCCAGTAGTAAAACAATCTCGGAAAACAGTTCTCCTCGGCCTAGATCTGGTAAAAAGCAAGGGACATCAACTAGAGTTAAAAGACCAAGAATCGATTGGGCTTTAAATCCGGCAGACCTTATTGCAGATCTCTATTGGCTTGAACAGGAGGGTAATAGGAATCTCATTGAAGACCGAAATGGAAAGCTCATCTTTCCAAAAAGAATGGTAACTCAGAATAAAATCTCACTCGATCATCACAGACAAGGATCACGCGACAAAAACCATGCGCAGTCCACTCCTACTCAAAAAGAGACTCAATTTGGCCAGGAGATAGATCCCCAACAAACTATATTTAAGCCTTCAGAGAGTTCCTCTGAAAATAATATTGACGACTCTTTATCCGAGGCCAATCGAAAGCCCCCAAGCATACCTAATAATGCTCGAGCTAAGCTTAGTTCTGATTATGAAAGTAGAAGTAGTCCACGCACTCAAATCATATATTCTCAGGCTCAAAGTAGCGACTTAGAGCATCAACTTGAGGCACAGCGGTATAGATCTGGAAATATTTCAGAGTATATATCTGGAACTGAAGTAATGGAAAAAAAAGAATCTATGCAGAAGAGAATAAGGAGAGAATCTGGATGTGAAAATGGAAAGTACGTTCAACAATTTCGACCACAAATTTTATCACAAAACCCAGACTTATCCCAAGAACTTGACAGTTATGTTTCACAAGAAGAGGAAGCGGTTTCTAAAAGTAGTCTTCTAACTCATACAAGCTTTGAAGGCAATGATTTGATATCCAGGCAATCGATTGAGTGGTGGGACTCCACGCCGGAGTCAACTACCCCGAACTCCCCAAAAATTAAAAACTTTGAACCAAAAGGTTCCAGAGAATCCATGACTCCTAGTATTCGTATCGACCTCCTGACACCAACTAACTCGCCAAAATGGAATCCAACTTCATGGTCAAGAAAAAATCTCAAAATAAGGCCCCAAAATATTCAAAATATTCAAAATATTTACGGAAGGCAGGCTGATGAAGAAAAAGACATAAATACCCCTCTGTCTATTTCTTTGTCTAGAAAAGTAATGAGTCCTACAACTAATAAGCCAAGAGAACGCTCCGCGAGTCCGGAAAAACTAAAGGCATCGTCAGAGAATGAAAAACCGGGGAGATTAGTGGTCAGTTCCAAGAAATTTAGAGGGGAGAACGAGCGATTCTCTGGGATTCGGGAATTTCTAAAGAGTCCTCGAAATCCCTTAACTAAGGTTAGTGACTTTTGGAAGAAAGAATCCACGTCTTGGAATTTATCCGGACTTGTAACAGATGATTTAGACTCCGATGACATGCTTGGTCACGGTCCAAAGACTGAGGAAAGCGTACAAGCTTATATCGAACAAATTGAGGGTAAATCCTTGAGGGAAAACTCTGCCGATGCTGTTCTAGAAAGGGGGAAATTAAGTTGGAGCTCTTCATTCCCAACAAAAACCAATGCTTTGCCTATTGCTACATTAGAACTACGCGGACGTCCAACTCAATCAAAGGGAAATAGCTGGCTAAAGAGTAATTCTCGGCAACCTAGACAGACTCAAGTAGAAAAAGACTACATCGAAGTTTCTCCGTCTTCTTCTTCTTTCGAAGGAGCAAGGACATGTTCTTTTGATACTGCTGCACTAGAGCGAAGGGAAAGTCGCTTTGGATCTATTGCCACCTCAAAAGCTGACGCTCGTTTAAATGCCATCATAGGAGGTCACAATCCGAATGATAGAATAATGACATGTAGACTACCTCTCGTGGACCTCCACAGTGAAAGAGAGCTGCGTCAGTTATATGCTTGTGATTATGCCAAAAACTCAGAGCAAGGCACCCTTACGAAAAAAGATATTGCACGAATAAGGATACTTCTCCTTAGCTCTGGCATTAAAGCCCGTGAGATCCAAAGACGTGCTGAGCTCTCACAAGAAATTTCCGTCGCAAAAGAATTACTACCCCGTAATAGATTAGCAGGCTGGAGTCACATTCCACAAGAGGCCTCAGCTATACAGCAGCATCAAGTAGCCGCTAAGCTTCTATTCGATGATATTCACTATTCGACGCGGACGTGGCACTCTACTTCCGAACGGTTTACACAGGTATCAGTACATCACCTTATGAGCCGTGTCCAAACTATGCAAATCCGGCTTATGAAAATCCTTACACCCTTGACACGTACAACTGCTGATGAAGCAGATGCTGTCTCAAAAGATCTTGTGATGGACTACAGTTTGACCGTGACACGTGTCGCTGGTAAGATCGCCCGTACAATGCAACGTAGACGGGCGAGGTTCCGCTGGTTGAAACGTAGCGGATGGGTAATTGTGGAATGGGCATTAATTGGGGTCATGTGGTGGGTCTGGTTTATTGTGATGATTGTGCGAATCTTTTTTGGAATAAGTCGGGGTGTTCTGGGCGGAATTAAGTGGCTATTTTGGCTGTAATAGACTGGATTGGGTGGGGTTAGGATGGTAGGTGGGTTCATGATACATTTGTATGACACTACGAGGGAGTACTAGGAATTATTTGACGCTCAGATGAGCAAGTCCGTTGCCACCATCCCATACAAGTGATCATGTCCCTAATTGAAGGTGTAGAGTGGCGAGATAATACTAGGATATTTTCTTCCAGATCGTAAGCTCATTTTCATGCGGTATTTATAATTCTTCTTGAAGTCGATTGTAAGTAAATTTAATATATCCTGCGCCATGTGGCAGGTATATCATTTATTTGAGTCTATCTTACGAGTTTTTTCGATCCCTGGGTAGTTTCATAGAGACTAAATTGAGGTCTCTAGTTGTTATGAATCTTCTTGTGGACGGATTTTACTAACTTGTTAAGCTGCAGAGGTCGAGTCAGTCTCGAAGGCAAAACATCGAAGGTTACAGAGGTTACAAATTAACCATGAAGAATAGAGTAAGTAGATAAATCGAAGTTCGGATTATTCAAGGACGCACTATCATAAGACATGTGAACAAGATTGTTAGAACTAGGAAGCAAATACAGGTTCACGACTGATCAAATGTTAACTCCATCTACCAAACTATAACCAAATTAGGGAAATAAACCGTACATCAGGGGGACTATTCTCAATACCTGTCAGTGGTATCCCCTACGAACTTCCAGCTCTCATTGTAGTGTCTGCAGGGCCGAGATTGAGTAACAAAGTCCTCACTTCGACGAGGATTCTCAATCGCTTGCGCCGTCTGTATCGTCTTCATCTCTCAACACATTCCCCTATCACCATTGTCATGAAGCTAACCACGATCTGATTAGATGGTAGGGAGGGGGCCCTACTCATCACCAACCATTAAGCATGGAGGAAATGCCATCCAATGAGTTTCCGGAGCGTACCCAGCGCCCGATATGGAGATGGTGGATTGGATCAAGTCGGCCTCGACTGTTACAAAGAAGGGAGATATAGATGAATATGTGCATCTCATGTGGTCTCGATTTCTAGGCCTCGCCTGGCTGGGGCTGCAGGTTTTTTTGAGACCTTTTCCAGCGCACGCAGTTTCCATTGCTACCATTTTTTTGGGGTAGAAGGTTCCGTGGAAATGGTAGCCGAATTCCACGGGTAACACTGAGCTGAATGGCTATTCATCAAGGGGAATATATCAATGATCTTTCAAGTAACAAAAGAGGATAGGAGCACTGTACAAGATGTAGCCTGGGTCAGAGAGGAGCCCAATGTGCTATGTAGTCATAGACTCAAGTAGTACAATAAAGACACACACACAAACCGTACATCAGCACACCTAGATTCTCTTTAACGATTTTATAACTCCTATATAACTAGCGCATGCAAAAAAAATCTAACTAGCGTGAAATACCACCGCAGCTGACAGAAGTACCGTGTCGCAGCGAAATATGTACATTGAGTCATCTCCTCTGTATTTTTTTCTGATTTTGTGTTATAGCTAGATGACTGCATACGCAATTCAAATTTGATGAAAAGAATAGCAAAAGGTGCTGGATCGTATCTATGACCTATTTTAGTACCGTAGGACTCAAAGATACTGGTGATCTTCGCTACCAGCAGAGTCATGAGGCCAATAGGCTTTCTTTCAGTGTGAAATAAAGAACTTAGATAAGTTTAGGTTTAGGGTCGAGGCTGGAGGAGAGTCTTCCGAGGGATCCATAGGAATTTAATCATATTATCTTCGATCTAACTTCCTGCATGATAAACATCAAAGCTATAAGTACTGTAAAGAGCTGGAAGGTACATATAAGGTGTCCAAAAAAGGGGGACAAAATCTCATCAGATGTCGATGGCATTCCCTACGAGCCTATAGTCTTCACTGGTAAGTTTACGTAGCCGAGAATCAGTAGCTCACTAGCCTGAAGAGCTTCTGTTGTTTATAGGTCCAGGGCATTTCTCGGTACTATCAAGTACATAGGGTCAGGCTAGGCTACTTTATAGATTTTTCTTGGTTACAGCTTTCCTGAAATTTTGGTGGAGATTTCAATTAATCTTGGGACGCAGATGATAGATGGTATTGAGAAGAGGCTTTGAAAGAGAAGATATATCTTTGGACTTCGATTCAGTTTTCTTGTAAGAGGGTCTCGAACTATGTTGTTTCCGAAAGTTTTCCCGGATATCGTACACCTGTAAATAGCCATTGTTTCGTTAATTGGAGAGTAAGAATATTTAATAGAGCCAGACCTTAGGAAAATTATTGATGAAAACTTACGAGAGACGTCACCTTTCACCTGAAAATTTAAAGCAGGTAAATGTCCCATTTATTTTTTGTTCATTAACGTGCTAGGTATAGTGATTCCCGTTGCACTCCTACTGGAGCTTAAGCACGAGTGGAGCCGGGCCGAATCAGGTTAGCTACCGTAAAGTACAAGTGCCTCGTCCCACCTAAATGACCGGACCACCTCAGACTTCACCCATGTGTCGAATAATGTCAAGCCCAACCGTCCAGAGAGCCCCCTTTTGGCGCGCTGAAGCGTAAATCTCTCCTCAGCCTCGGCCACCACGCGCCCAAGCCCTTGATACTTTCGCCATCTGTGACTTTTTTCTTCGATTCATTCCCAGCTTTGGCTCATCTCAGCATCTCCTCATCTCATCCAGGTGTCATTTTCTTCACTGGAGGCCTTATCCAGTCGCCCACCAAGGTCTCCTCAGTTTGTAATCTCTTTTGGTTCCTTCATACAGCATCCCTCTGTCCCTAAGCCGATCTCTTCATCCCAGAAACTTTGTAGAATGTCCACCCCTCCGGCCTTGCCCCGTCGCTGCCGTACCCCTAACCGTGGAGGTTGAAAACGCGACTGAGAGCTCAAGACCGAGGCACCAGTGCCCCAGCCTTTTTCGAACGCTCTGGTTGGTGTGTCAGCGAAAATTCGTACGTATTTCGTCGGTGGCGGTTCGTCGCAGGTCGAGTTGATGGTGCCCTTGGCCGAGGTGAGGACGCATCTAAGGCCGGTATTTCGACCGCACCTTCACAGCGACTGGCAGTTGCGTAGGGTCGGACATCCACTTACTTCTTTGTTAGCGATTTAGCTTTGGAGGTGTGGGATTGCTTTGGTAGGTTATGAGATGATTGTGGAGAGGGCCGCGAGATCAGTTTGGCTGAGAATGAATTTCCAGAGAAAAAGAAAATAGGATCTTGAAGGTGTCGGTTGTTGTGAAACGAACATCAGACAGGTTACAATCTGTCTGCGGCTCGTATCTGGGGTGTAGATGGTTGATTTCGTTGAGTTGTGCAGTCGTGAAATCTCTGCAAGTCGGATTTTTGACTAAAAATGAGCCAACACCACTCCTCCAGATCGCCAACTCGACGGAAACCCTCAAGTTCACCCTTTGTCGTGACTTAATCTCGGCTCTGGGAGAATATTTCACTTCCAGGTTTGTAGAGGACACCACTGACAGGTGTTCAGCCTTCGTCCTCCATAGTCCTTCGTTTAACTACGAGAAGTGCAATTGGCCACCAGTTAGAGACGGTGTTAGCTAAAAAATACTCCAGTACCCTTTCCTTTCCCTCGTGTGTTGAAAATTGATGTCTGTGGTCTTGAAGTCGACCTCGATGGTGGTGGGGCGGGTAGCAGGAGCCGTTTGCGCAGGCGTCCTAACCATTTCTTTCCTCCCTCAGCTTTTTGATGGGGCACCAGTGTAAAACCTGGTCTTCAGTTGTTCTCGCCGTTGATGATGTCGATGCTGTGTTTAAATCTTCATCCTTTCTGAATTGTGCCGTTTCCTACATCAGCCCATACTATGCCCTCCAGACACTGACCTCATATGACGCGAAATTTGGACGAGTCTCCTTCTGCCACGATATATGGGCCTTGCAACAGTTGCAGCAAAGCGACAACTTCTTCGGGCAGTCTCTGGTCAGATAGGTGCCCGCATAACCTCTAAATCTCCTGGCCTTATTACAGTATTCTTGGGTATGGCTCCACTCGATGCACTTGAAACACTACTTGACTTGCGCTCGGGGTGACCAGAGCTGGGCCGAGTAAAGCATTGAATCCATTCCAATGCCATTTCTTACCACCTAGCTTTAAAGAGCCTCTGTAGGCAGGCTCATGATTGCTGACCCTTGAGCGTGGCCATTTTTATTCATCCATTGGTGTTCTTTACCATCGTAAAGCCATCTTATCCCATCGATTTGGATCCCAGTAATCTAACTCTTGACTTCTCCGTTGTTTGAAATATTATTATGCCATTATTGGCATGCTTTCTTCCTCGTATAGTGGTCCCCAATAGGATTCCTAAAATCTCAACAGGATAATCTTGCTTTAGGACGCAGAGCTCCTTTGGCTGCGCCATCCTCAAGGTAAAGTCTCGCTGCGATACCGATTGCACGAACACCACTATGTCATTGTTCCTCAGCTACCTTACGGCATATGCTCCTTTTATATCTTGTTTTGCCTTGTTGAAAAGCTCTGCCGGCTGCATATTTCCTGCTCCTTGTTCTTGTATCCGTAGTGTCGCTTTTGTTGTTAGCTGTGCGATAATTGAGGCGTAGGTGGGTCATCCTCCCATTGACTGTGCCGACTGTGGAACCATCTTGCGGAGCGGCTCGAGACTCTTCTTACTGCCTTCTCTAAGGCCAGTGTCCTTTCCTCCATTGGCGTGGCCGTTAACTTCGATGGTGACATCATCGCATAAGCCGTAAAGACTTCAAGAGCCGCATTCACCTCCATCGTCGGTGTCGCAGTTGGATTAGTTCCTACAACCACCAATTTATCTCTAATCTTGTTTATAAAATACTCGAGTGATTTAAGGTTATCCATATAACATCTATGGAGTTCACGAGAGACTCTACAGCTATACCTGCGAGAGCTCCGCTACCCGCTGGTGGTTTTGGTAGTATCGCGAAGATTTTCCCTGCCGCGAAATCCATGTTTCTGAGCCCCGAAACCGCCATGCCGATTCGCAGCGTGAAAAAAATTGGCAATTCAGAAAAGGATGGATGATGATGGTAAAAGTTAAAAAACGATAAAATAATATTAGTGGAACGTAGTGCCAATTTTGAGCAAATTTTGACATTTTTTGGAATAATTCTACTGTAATTTCTTACGAATTTAAAATTACTCGAATTTAATGGCCTGAGAGTCCATGTGACTATTATCAGGAGGTAGTTATGTTATGTAGAATGACTTGTATTGTGGTTTGGAACATCCATACTAAGATTTCATTCGAATATACCACTCGAAGTTAATCCTCACATCATGTAACCTCTTACATGATTACCTAAAACAGGGAAAAGCATTAAAACCTATGGTTATCGGGATGTGCTATCACAGCCCTACAAATACGAAATCACTGCGAGAGAATTAAGTGTGTGGGTCTGAGTGGATGCGAGCCAGCTTTCTCCTCTCTCTCAAGGTATGACGGGATTGATGCCACTTTGAATTATGTCGACCTGATCTGGCTTGACAACAGCCACCTCATTTTCTTGTGATGGGAAAGCAAAATATATTATCCAGCGTCTTGACTGTAAAAATCAGAAAGGGACGGTAAGTCTTTAATATGCTACGAAAGCTTGGATTTGTAGCAGCAATTTTTCGGGAAGATAATCTAGCAAATTTGTGTCAAATTATTGAGTTTTGTTTAACCTAGAGCTCCATGTGTTCTTGGTCGCCATCAACGGCATCTGCTAAAATTGTCTCTGCGATCTTTTTGGCTTCCGTCGCTGCCGCTCTCACAGACTCTACAACCTTGTCGACAATCTTTGAAGTAGAGCTAGAGACCTTGGCCTCGGGTGCTTCTACACCTTGTATACCGACCAATTCGGTTGTGAATACTATTAGAAGTTAGTTATTGGTCTCAAATAAGTCCAATAATAATCTAGATCACCTAAAGTGCTCGAAGCTGGAATGGGCCCTATTTTGGCGTCGCCATATCCGAATTCAGGAGGAATGGTAAGAGTCCTCTTGTCACCGATGCACATTCCTAAAAGATTTTGATCCCATCTACCGATTTGTTAGCAATACTACCTGCCAATAATTTTTCTCCAATACAGACCCTTGGATAACATGTCCTTCGCCTACAACAAAGTCCAAAGGCTTACCGCGGTCATAGGAGTTATCGAATTCTTTTCCCCCGTCCTTGAGGCTGCCACGATAGTGTACGTAGACTTTGTCACCTTTTTGAGATCTGCGTTCGCATTCTACAGCATGATCAATTTGTATTTCAACCTCGTTTTTGGCGGCATGGATGCTTGCAATTGCAGCTAGAAAGGCAAGTGTAACGGCGCCAAGATGCATAATGGTGTACGTGAGGAATGTTATTGTAGATTCGGGACGTCCGATTTGTAGCAGAATACGGATGGAAAGAAGTAAGCCACTTGTTCATTAATCCTGCTGATTACTAATCTTCGTCGGCGCAGTATTTTTTTGCATTTTAATTTACTTCCGTATGCAGCTATCCAGCTATGACGCACTATCGGAGAAGATTAGATTAGATTTTTATTATGGTCCCTGCTGAGTATAAGACTATGGAGGACTTCGTGAATCTAACTAAAGATTCCAATTACATTTGAGAAATTTTAGTTTTGAAATATGCCAAAATTTGTTCTCATAAAAATTAATATTCAAGCCCGTTATAATATCGTATAAAAAGTACAGAAAAGATGATTTAATGTACAAGAAGAGCACTCATGCCTCAGATTTCATATGCAAGTACCACTGCGAAGTTATGGTGGCTTTTTCTTCACCCCAAGTCAACCCTCATCCACGAATGCCCACCCAGGGGACGTCTCAAAACCCCTGAGTTATCCAGACATGCCTCTGTCATCCATTTACATTTATCCGCACGAAATGTGGTCTTAGGTGTCTCCTTCCCAAGTGGAATAGGTGCTCGGGCTACTCAAACTAAACTAGAGAACACCACCAGGAGGCGGACCACGGCACCTTCCATCGTTGGCTTGTGATTATAGTGCCAGCTGCACTCTCGCAATCGAAGGTTTAGCGTGTACATGGCTCAATTCATCAAAATCCTTGCCAAGAATCGGAATTTCTTGCCCTTCATGGTTACATCCTTCCTTTGCATCATCTTGTAAACTTATCCTGATCCCTCTCACATCCATCCCAAGGGATAGTCTTCCAGGTTTGTGCGCCACGCTTTGCTTCCTCCATCGGGTGTAAATATCGGCGTGGGCGTATATCTGGCGACCAGCTAAGGCCAGACAAAGACGACTAGAGGTGTGGTCGTTGAAACGAGTATGTATTGTGTCGCACCTGTAGACTTGTTGAGACTGAGGTAGGAGTCGATCTAGTTGAGGGTGAAAATTTGATATGGTAGAGTATTTTGAATCATTGCCTCGTGAGCCAACTTCTTCGGTAATAGGAAATCTGACTAGACTTTGCTCTAGATGATTATTTCACTCCCAAGTTCGTTGAAGGCACCGCGCACATGTGTTTAGTCTTGCCCTTGGTCGGCGCAGATAACTTCTATGGTAACGATTGACATTCAGCCTTTCACCGACAGAAGCTACCATATCGATTTCACATTTTTCTTTACTGTCAACTAACTTATCGCGGGCCTTCAAAACGATAAACTGATCAAGCGTTTTTTTGTCAGTGCAAAGCTCTCAGGATGACAACTCAAATAAGCCGGTGGTGATGTTATTCAATATTGGTTACCACAAAAATCCAAATTATTCAAGATATAACTCGGTCTATTTGACTTAATAATACTTATGTCTATATTCAGTCACATTGGCATGACTTAATTTATGGGAATAGCTCTCTACATACATGTAATTATTTAAAGCCTGAGACCAGAAAATTGTGAGCACTATTCTACTATCTTGACCCTTGTCACAGGGGCTTCACTCAGTTTGAGGGAAAAATAAAATTTGAATGCGAAACCGCCATAGTCTCTATACGAGTCCTCCAAATGCTACATATGAAATTGCATGAAGATTGCAATGCCAATGTGGAGTAGGTCCTCATCTGTAGCATTCTGAGTAGAGTTGTGTCGATTTACTACTTGATACTATCACTCGACTTGATGACGTTAAGAGAGATGCTGTCAGCCTCCAAATTTTAGGCATGATATCATAGTATCACAAAATTTTGATAATACAATTGTGAAAATAGAATATCGGCTTAGTAATTTCCTTGAGATACTCGAGACTTTTGATTTTGAATTATCATCATTGTAAACAACCGAGACATGTGATCACTAGCATCATTGTGCTTGATAACTACTTGATAAGAAAATTAGGTTATTTTTTTCTGATTTTTTCTCAGTCCTTTTTCCTTTTCTCTTTCTAAATATTTTTTCTGCGCCTTGGAGTCCAATGCCTGTAGCTCAAGATTTCTTTTCTGCTTTTTAGCTTTCTCTCGTTCAAGATTTCTTTGCTCTGCCTTTTCCTCTTCATCAGCTTTTTGTATCTTCCGGATAGCATCATCACGTGCAGATTTTACTTTGCGAAGGACTTCAGGCCGGAAGTGCGCGTGTTGTACCAGTAAGTCGGTCAAATTCAATACATACTGGAGAAGATTTAGAACACTAGAATAGTCGTTTGATGATGGAATTTTTAAACTTAGGCTGATGCGTTTCCGAGGGGTGGTATCTTCAAGTCTGAATATGTCAGCTTATTTCTATGACTGATGAGAGTGATACATACTTTAATGGCTGTTCAACCGGTTGATCTGTAATGATCAAGTGATTAAACAAGTCACCAGATTGCTCAATTGCATGGATCAGCTCCGTAGTCAAAAGAGCTTCAGTTATTTCTGCGCTCTCGCTCATGACGGTAGTCCATTTTGGGAGCTTATTACTATCTTTGGTGCTCGTGAGGGAAATATCGTAACGATCATCACGGAGCTGTTTGATGTTGTCTTTATTTACAACAGCCCAGACAAAGCCATCGTAGGTACTTTTTCCACCTTTACGCAGCTCATTAGAGCCAGGTATTTGTCCAGGGACGAGAAGATGCTCCTTTCCATCAAACGGATATAAAGTGACCCCTACATGCTCGCTTGGTGCACTCATACCCTCAAAGAATACACTCATTGCAGCTTCAGCTACAAGAGTGAGAGGGCTGTAACGCTTCAGGAGGGTCAAATCGATATCGATGAAAGCTACGTTCTGACGTCCTGTAGCGTAGGTTGAGAACTCCGAGGGTGATTTTTCTTTTAGTATTCCATGAACTGATTCCGCCTGCCATTCGTCGTGTTCGGTTGGGGGTGTGGTCTCAAAGCCTAGCAGACTAAACTCTTTGTGCAAAATAGGCCCAAATTCTCCTATTAATTTCTTGGCCTTCTTTCGGTTTATTTTAGTTCCGAAAAGATGTATTAAGACTATGAAAAGAAGTAAAATTATAATAACTGCTTCCTGTTTAAATTCTCCGAGAGAATGTCGTTCGTGCACGTTGTACCATTTTGTGTAAGGAATAGACTGTGTATCAGTCAGTTGGCTACTAGATTCTAGATGTTTTTGGTCTGAAGCCAAAATTGGAGCCCGAGTCGGTTCAAGCACTTCTGCGAAATCGGCAAAGTCTACAAATATTAGATAACATATCGAGTAGTTTCAAAATCGCCTTACCGGAGTCTTCGATTGCAATTGGGGTGGGAGATGGTGAGCTCAAGAATAAGTTGGAGAATAAAGCTGCCATAATTAGAAATTAAGTGAGCTTAAGTTAGATGCTATTAATTCTCCAACGACTTGGTCGAACTCTGAGTTTTGGGCTAAAAACTCAATTGGATCATAGTTAGGAGCGCAAGCTAAATTGTATTATGAATTTACAGAGTTTGAACCGGCCAAAAGGCTACAATAAATCGTAGTTATTTAAACATATCCTAATTCGACAAACCTAGCTAGCGTTTTCTGGCATGAAATATGTGGGGCCGAGTGATACAGGTAATCGCTTAGAATAACATTGGAATTAATGGGATGAGAGCAACACACCCAGTGACGATAGCAATGCTTTGTGTGTAGAAGAAAAGAAAACGACTGAAAATTGCCTTGAAGGAATCGGCATCATTTCAAAGACTTGTGAGAGCTATTTCTTCTATACAGAGGACCTGAAAGAGCTATAAATACACCCAGCTTGTAGGTAGAGAGGCTCTACATTTGCTCTGCAGACGTAGACTTAACCAGAAAATAGAATTTCAATTGCTAATTAAGCATGATAATCTGATGTTAGATTCCAAATTCTGGTAAAAACCTCTGAGGAAGTAGGGCTATTCATATGAACCTAGCTTCCACTTAATTGAAGTCTTAGCTTTAGCAAAAAAGGCCACTAGGCAAGTCATTTGGTAGATAATGGTGAATCATCTTATCATCAAAATCTTTTTTAACCCTTTTTTTTCATCATGAAGCTCAAGTACAATTCTTCTATCCGAGAATGCACCCTTTATGTATTTTGGAAGGTTAGATTAGTTGTTGTGAATGCTCCCAACAACTAGAAGTTAAGGGAGACGAAAACATAACATCTATCAGTGGTGTTCTTTGGGAAGCTCTAGAGCTCACCGCAGAGTTTGCAGAGCTGAGATCAAGTAACATGTTCGTCATCACTTCGATAAGTATTCCCTATCGCTATCGCCTTCTGTGTTAGCTTAATCTCTCAGCGCATTCGCCTATCAACAATATTATAAAGCTAACTATGATAATAACTTGTGCTAGGGTCGAAGCCTCACTTATTATCCACTCACTTTTATTGGATATGGAAAGAGGTCGTCCAATGAGTTTCTGGTGCATACCCAGTCCCCAATGTGGTGGCGGTGGACTGGATCAAGTTGGCCTCTAATGTCACAAAGAAGGGAGATGTAGATGGATATGTGCATCTCATTTAGCACCGATGTCTAGGCCTCGCCAGGCTAGGACTACGAATGGAAGGTTTTACAGGAAAAGTGGCTGAAACCTACGGGTAATCAATGAACCAAATGGCTTTCCATCATGGGCAATACTTGGGGGTTCTCATTTTTGTAAGGAAATAGTTTAGCAGTAATGTGTAATGGGTGGTATAGATCATAGAGTAGCCTAATATGCTAGGTTGTCTATGCCCCAGTAGCACAATAAAAAGCTAATATAGAACATTAACCTGACAAGGGCCCAAAACAGTTTGGCAATGCAAATACGAAGTGAGCACATGGAGTTTAATTCGTATTTACACAGAAGAAAAGCACCCGAAGGATTAAGTCCAGGTTGTCCATGCGGCTACCAATCACAGAACCCCAAATATATGATTATGTCCTGCCCCCGATGGTCAAATGGTAGAGCTGAGATCTGGAGATAAGCCAGAGATCGATCCTACGAAGCGATGATAAACAATCCTGGAGATATAAAAAGGATAACACAGTGAATCCTAAGCCATGGTTGGATAGAGCAATTCCAGATGACAAAAGCGGTCGAAATACTGCTGATGGAAAGGAAAAGGTCAAATAATGCTTGGGGCGGATAGAGATGATCTGGTTAGTTTACATGGATGGCACTATAGTGTAACTGCGCTTCCTAAAGAAAATATGTGAGAACTATAGACAACAAATAGAAAGGTGTGGGAGGTTTTCACCATAAAGGTTTCCTCCAGGGTAAATATTATAGATTGTAGACACCTGCATGGGCCCATAGGGCGCCAAATCAGGATAATGAAATCAAAATCAAATTACTATAGAAGATTTTAATAACTTTAGGTTTGTCGTGTTGTGAAACATATTGTTTGAACAAATGGTGATGATCAAATTACTCTTTACAGCTAGTAAAAAATAAACAGCAGCATTAATTGATGCGCATTCCAGTCGTTAACCACGACATCATTTGTCAGACACATCGTTGAAATTCTGAGTATAGAACTTGATGTTTCTAGATCAGTAAGCTTGTTGGGATTCTTAATGAGAATTTAGAGCGGTATTAATTACCTCCAAGCTTGACAATATGGTTTTCATATCTAGTGAAGAAAACGACCCCTGAATTAGATGAGGAGATGCTAAGATGAGCCAAAGCTGGGAATGAATCGAAGGGAAAAGTTACAGATCGCGAAGGTGTCAAGGGCTCGGGCGCGTGGTGGCCGAGGCTGAGGAGGAATTTGCGCTTCGGCGCGTCAAAAGGGGGTTCTTTGGACGGTTGGGCTTGACATGATTCAACACATGGGTGAAGTCTGAGATGGTCCGGTCATTTAGGTGGGACGAGGTAGATGTACTGCACGGTAGTCACTTTATGTAGCACGTGAATGAACAAAACAAAACAATATGGTTTCATAAATTACCAAATTAATTCCTTCAAACAGTGGCAGGCTGCTCGACCCATTCTAGACCTATTCGTATTTTCAGATGGAGTTCTCATAGCAGAGCGAGCAGGCGCGGGTTACGTCATCTATCGAGGCCTCACGCAGGAGATTGGGCGAGGATCACTCCCTCTAGGAAACTCGGCAGAGGTCTATGATGCTGAAATTGCCGGGGCCACGGAAGGCCTTACTGCAGCACTCCTCAATCCACTGGCTTTCTATGCCTCAAACGTCACCGTTTACCTTGACAACCAGGAGGCTGCCCTCCGTCTTCTTTCTGATGTTCCCACACCGTCTATCTCAGCGAAAATCTTTCTCTTTCGCAAGCTTGCAGCAAACTGGAAAATAAGGTCACGTGGCCAAAACATAACGCCTGGGGAAGTGGCCATCCGATGGTGCCCGGGCCACGCATGTATTCTGGGAAACAAAGCAGCCGACGCGCTTGCCAAAGCCGCTTGTGCGGCTCCAGCTCTACACTTGGTATTCTCTATTGCGAGGGCAATAAGGGAAGTCAAAGCCCAATACGAGGCTTCTGTTGCACTTTATTGGGCAGAAAATTCTCCATCTAGATATAAAGAATTAGGAATTGGTCCTAATACTAAGATTACTGTTGGTAAAACACGAAGTAATACAAATTGGGTGCCGTCACGAAGTCTGTGAATAATATCAATTAACTGGTATCTCGAAATACATAAAACGTTGTCTCTCCCTTCCTCCTCTCCATCTCCCCTTTCTCCCTCTACTCCAAGCGCCTCGCTAATGAGCTAAATCAGACCCCTGTCAGTGTCCTAACGACAACCTGAATAACGCAACTAAATAGAACAATTCATACTGCCCAAATGTGATCCTTTTACCGACAATTACTGCCGAGCTCGCCTGTCTAGGGCGACGCACACTAGGTGTTTGTTAGCTGCACAGTCTGGACATGGCGATTTCGCAGACTACCACCGACGCTTTCAGCACGAAAACGCCATTCTAACCTGCTCATGCGGAGAAGAAAAATCTCCCAACCACTTTTTCTATTGCCACCTTGGGCAGTACCAGGCACAGCTCCACAGAGCACAGAATCCTAGTCCCAGCATATCTTGGGCTCTCGCTTCCGCGGAGGGAGTTCACGCATTTAACAGCTGGGTGCGTGTCACAAATTTCTTTGGAGAAGCACAACAAATCTGACCGAAAGGGAATCATGTGATTCAACTAAGTTCCCCCTTCCATATTGTTCATTTAATCTATTCTTCATTTAATACAATCTGAAAACATGAGAGTTGAAGGGTGACCGGTAACCATGTGTAATTTAATCTTCAAGCGCAGGATGATAAGATCCTGGCTTTCATTTGCTTTGTTGGCTTTGTTCTGGCGCCAACACGTCGGATAGTTTTATTTAGGCTGAGCTAACCGGCACGTGAGGAGCTCACGTGCTGTGCGCGGGCACGACGTCAAGTATTGTAAATAAATAAATAAATTACCAAATAGATATGTTGTATTACACAATAATTTAATGAGATAGCTTGGTATATGGTTTGATCCTAGACTGACCTTTAGGAGACGCATACAAATCTGAGCTGCTCAGGCCACTCAAACATTTCAAAGAATGGCCAGACTAGCCAATATCAAAATGGGACTAGCCAGCAGCTGTTCGACAGGTTTATCTGGCCTGTACCATCAGTATTTCTGACTTTGGCTCCATTATCTGGTAGAAAGTGTGATGGGCGATCAACAAAACAATATAGTAAAGGAATGGTGGCCGATTACTGTCTATTTTCTACATACATCTCGGAACTGTCCACCGAGGGCAGGCTACTTAAGGTGTCCCAACTCCCAATGCGCTAACCTCACTATCTATTCTACTACACCATATCCTTGATATTCCGAGTGGGCTCGTCATAGCGAAACTGGGTCGTATCGGCCCATGATTCCATATGAGACTTGCTGCAACAATATCTTGTTTCCATATTTGTTGCAACCCTGTATTTGTATGGCCAAGTTGGACTTCTCTTTAGATAGCAAGGCTAATGACGTAATAATGATAAGTGTCCGTGCGACAGTCACTAGGAGATAGGCGCAGCCTGTAACAGAAAGGACGAGAATTCATTCAATCGTCCTTTCAGAAGATCCAGGATATGGCACTCAATAAAATACTTTTGATATTTAAAACCGCTCCAATACTTGTCATAAAAGTAGAAGCAGCCTTGATGCCATCAAGAATAAGATTGAGCCAGCAATTGTGCAAGTATGCATTCAGATGACTCATATTATCCAAAACTTATCTTGTTAATATGGAAGCCATTAGAGACCTAGAATATTCAAAGAGACCCCAACTAATGAGAATAAAAACTCAAATTTCAGAGACAACAGATAGATTTGACATAGAGTTCTATCCCGTTGTTAGGGTCCACTTTTGGGGCTGGATAATCCATACGTCATCAATATTGAAAAGGCCTCTAAGGACGAAGCGGCAAAGAGCCCTCAGGCTTTGCTTCGACAGACAAATGTATCCAAAAACATTTGTATTCACTGTTGTAAAATCAGTATGGGTTCGATGAGTATGGCGGCTCAAAGAAAGTAGGTGCGATTCATGAATAGTGTCGGTTGTTTATGTATACGTATCTGCGTACGCAATGGGTCTCTTGATGTGATGATTCTTATTGGGTACAGGCGTGTCAGCCTTAGGCGCGAAACACTAAGCTGCACCAAGTCATGTGACTAACTAACTATCATCACATCGTGATCTCTCTCCTAGCTTATATACATCCCAAAATGCGTCTTTTGTCTCAGTAGGGACTTAATAGGGTTACTCGCTTGACGCGTGATCCGCCAGACGTTAAATAAAGATAAATAAAAAATACATCCCAAAATAGTGTTGAGACAAATAGAATAATATCGATATGAATCGGGAGAATTTGTGATAAACTGTGGAAATAGAAGTGTATGATAGTATGAATTGAATTGATTGAGTTAATTATCTATCTTGGTGATTCTAGACAGCTTATGTATTTGTATTCTTAGTAAACCAAATCCTAATTAAGTACCATCCACCACCCATTCCATACTCTAACAATGACAATGAATTCCTCGAAATTGTTCAATTCATAGAGTATGCAAGCCAGCATGCACAGCTTGGGTATAATTTTTGTATACTTTTAGACAACTAAGCAGTCCTTCACAGACTTCGAATTTTCTCTGATGATCCAGGTCAGTCCTATCAACTTAAAGCTGCAGTGGATGCACAGATAATCTAGAGAAAAAACGCAACAATTCAGCTAGAATGGATTCCAAGGACATATGGGGATCCATGGGAAATGAAGAGGCAGATAAATTGGCGAGATATGCCTGCAGCATCCAACCAAAAAGAAGTGAGATAAATCTTGCAATGTCAAAATTAAATATTAACCAAGGGTCTCAACAAGACTTGATAGAATATCTTCATTCACAAGATGATAAGCGGTCCAAGAATCCTCTTAAATTTAGGAAGAAATTTGATTGGAAAGTTGACCTAAATTTCCCATTGGCCCAAGGAATTTCTTTTTGCATCAGATTTTAATTGCGTTTGCAACTATCTACCTATGACACAATATCAAAGAAATGTACAGAAAAGATGACTCAATTTACAAGAGAAGCACTCATGCCTCAGATTTCATTTGCAAGTACCACTGCGAAGTTATGGCGGCTTTTTCTTCACCCCAAGTCAACCCTAATCCGTGAATACCCACCCAGGGGAACGTCTCAAAAACCCTGAGTTATCCAGACATGCCTCTGTCATCCATCAACTTTTCTCCGCGCGAAATGTAATCTGAGATGTCTCCTTCCCAAGTGGAGTAGGTGCCCATGCTACTCAAACCATACCAGAGAACACCACCAGGAGGCGGACCACAACACCTTCCATCGTTTGCTTGTGTTTATAGTGTTAGCTGCACTCTCGCAAGTGAAGTCATGGCGCGCACAAAGCTCAATTCGTAAAACTCTTTCCAAAATTCGAAATTTCACGCCCGTCGAGAATGTATCCCTCTTCTGCATCATCTTGTAAACTTGTCCTGATCCCTCTCACGTCCGTCCCAAAGAGCCATCTCCCAAAATTGTGCTCCACGCTTTGCTTCCTCCGTCGGGTATAAATATCGGCGTGGGCGTGTATTTGGTGACCGGCTGAGGCCAGAGAAAGTCGACGAGAGGTGTGGTCATTGAAATGAGGATGTACTATGTCGTACTTGTAGACTTGATGAAGCTTAGTTGAGAATTGGACTCTTTGGGAGTGAAAGATTGACATGGTGGACTAATTCGAATTTTTGCCTCGTGGGCCAACTTCTTTGATATTGCGAAATTTGACTGAACTTGGCTCTGGAAGAAGGTCCAAGGAATAATCAGTGAGACAGCTAGCGCCTTTTTCCAGCTCAAGCTCGGTCATGGATACAACAAACTATATATTTACAAGCGAGTGTGAAGCAACACAGATTGGTGTGGATGTGAGAAGAAAGAAACGCCTGATAACCTCCTGCTAAGTTGGAGTAACTACAGACATGAACGGAATAATTTAAGAGAAAAAATTAACAATAAATCGAGCATGAAACTTCTGCTTCACGCCAAAGTTTGCACATAAAACACATTGAAGTTTTCAAAGGAGACAAAAATATCAACAAGGAAGTGGCACACTGAGAGATTGGAGAGGGAGGTTGCAAGATACAGCAACATAGAACAGATCAAGGGTCGAGATGGAGGGAATAACTACGGAGAATTTATTAGAGTTTGATCCTCAGGATCAACTAGCACAAAACTGTAATATTCATGTTTGAAATTAACCTGTAAGTAATTGAACTAATTAGATAGATCCTTGGGTAGTCTTTCACAATCTAGGGCTCAGTAGAGACTTAGATTTTAATCAATCAATAAATATGGTTTCATACTCAATTCACATTGATGAGTAGATATTTGTCTACATCTGACATAATTCAGGTACATCTGAGCGTTATTAAGGTTAAATTCTCCAATCATGGCAAAGTAATACTTCAAACTTTTACGTAATTAAAATATGATGCAAAAAAAAGAAATACTTCAAATTTGAATATATCTTCGGACTACTGATATTAATCACCTCTAATCTCGAACCTCTCCATGAAGGAGAAATCGATAAGCGTCATCAGGATAGGAGAGGTGATTAGTTGAATGGGCCCAAATTTGCACAAGTATCCAGTCCAAAAGAGAACAAACAGTGGCCGGAAATAACACCGCTTTCAAAGAACGATCAGAATCTTGGGAGAACAAGGAAAAGGAGCGGCGCTCGGGGACCTGAGCACATGCGGATGGTGGTAAATGGAAAGTAGCAAACCTGCACAAGGAAAAGAAAACAGGTAGTAATTAGATAAAATATAGATAAATACCTAACCAAATTCATCAAAGCCTTACCAGGGCCCAGAGCTGTTTTGTTTTGTTTTGTTCATTAACGTGCTAGGTTACATGACTACCGTTGCACTCCTATTGGAGCTTAAGCACGTGTGGGGTTGGGCCGGATCAGGTTAACTACCGTGAAGTACAGATAAACCTCGTCCCAATTTAATGACCGGACCACCTCAGACTTCACCCATGTGTTGAATCATACCAAGCCTAACCGTCCAGAAACCCGCTGTATACACGCCGTAGCGCAATTTCTTCCTCATTGACTCCGAAATATAATTGCCGTCCAAGATCTCATCGTTGCTCTAGCCTTGTACCTTCATATCGTACCATTGGGTTGTTTTCGTCATTGGGGATTTGTGTAATCCCCTCGGTGCATCTTCCCTCTTCTTCCTCCTTTGTACACGTCCCGTTTCCATCATGACTTTCCTCAATAGGACGTGTGTGGGTAGGCGATTGGACGAGTATGGAAGTGGGTCGCAGGTATAGGATCGACTGAGAAATGCTTCGTCACAAATATAAAAGGAGTTTGAGAGATGTCGGATGTTTGAATACGACCTCCAGACAGACCTAAATCCATTCGTGAAACGTATGTTAGTGGTGATGAGTTTTTGTTCAACTTTTTTCCGGCTGTGAAATCTCTGTCGACTGATTTATCGACCATAATATCGAGTGCAACTCCTTGAAGTCGAAAACCCATCAAAAAGAAATTCATCCTACCCTTTTTCGTGACTGAGTCTCGGCTCTGGGAGAATATTTCACTCCCAGGTTCGTAGAGGACACCACGGGCCCAGAGCAGTATTGACACGCCAGTAAAAAGCGGACACCTTGGGCTCAATGCTTACTTATACCAAAGAAAAGTTCTTGCAGGAAACCATACTGCCCATGTAGATATCTATCCCAAAACGTCAAGCATAAGGTGATAACTTCTCCAAGACGGGCCAAGGGAAAGAGCGAAATGCTACAGATTCAATACCCTTATTTTTCGAAGCCATGGTAAATAACGCCAAAGATATGGCTACAATTGCACGTGTATCCAAAGGGAAAGATAACAGGAGATATTTCGGTTGACTGGAGAAATCAAGTCTAATATGAGGCAAAGGGGAAATGTGGGCAAGATAGGATAAGTTTGGAGCCTATACTAACAGTAACAGTGTGAGCGTACTTTTTAAAGATAAATGGACAGTAACCTCGAATCAAATCAAAAAATTGAGGAGATTTTGCAATGACGGTTTCATTTTGTACAAATATTATAGTTCGTAGGCAACTGCATAGGCACATAGGGCGCCTAATCAGGTTAAATTGAATTCAAATCTTATTCCATCTCTGTGGCCAAAAGAATCCAACTGCTGTTACAAATCTATGCTCTACATAATGACCATTTTTCTTTTTACGTTAATTGTATTCAAAGTGATGAATTTTCCGCTAACTGCTCGTCGCATTATCCCAAGTAGCTACAGAGCAAGACCGCTTCGTAAATATGTAGTACAGGAGGACCCTGAGTGAGAGGACATGTCTTCGGGTTAAAATATAGTCCACTTCGTCCTTGTTTACTAACCCACGTCAGCTCTTCACCTTTATAGTTATCAGATTTTCGTTTGTGATTCTTGATTTACAATCTTATATAATCGAAACAAGGAAAGTGGTGTTAAATGAGTATTTTGCTCAAAATAAGAGTCATCTGACGAAAATTCTGCGTCAGTTGAAGTAGGCTGCAAATAGTTGATTGTAATCAGAGACGTCATTGAAGGTGTACAAAAGTGAAATTTTCAGCTTGGCTAGTACTTCATTCCTCTTATCTAACGTTTCTAGTTGATTAACTTTTGTTTCGGCACCTGATGGAAGAGTTTTGGTACGGTAACCAAGATCACAGGATCATAATAAAATAGAGGCTTTGGAAGAGTTGTTAAGTAAATATGATGACTAGTTCATACAACCTCTGCTGTCTCATTCGGATTAGTGGGCTTGTGAATTGGTAGCCCTGAGATTTATGTTTGCCTTTTCAGGTAGCTAACGGGTTTGCATGTATTGTGATATTTTTTATCTTTATTTCTTCTTTAGGTCGGTTTTTCTTATCCACTTCAACATTCTCCATCTTTGATAGCGTAGCTAAACTCTCTTCTCCAAGGACGTTTCCAAAAACTGTATTCTTATTATCTAGATGTGGTGATTTCTCGAAACAAATGAAGAATTGACTTCCATTGGTCGCAGGTCCTTTGTTAGCCATGCTTACTATTCCACGCGCATTATGTCGCAAGGATGGTCGAATCTCGTCTTCGAAGGGCTCTTCCCATATAGACGTCCCGCCCTTTGGCTGCGATGGTGGGGCCCCAGTCTGAATCATAAAATGAGGTATAAGCCTATGGAAAAGTGAATTGTCATAGTAATTGGATGCACATAGTGCAAGAAAGTTCTGTAGATCAACATCAATAGAAATTAGTCCTAGCTTAAGTACTGGACAACAAAACTTTGCTGACCTCAGCAGTTTTAGGAACGCTATCACAATAGACCTCAATTTTAATGTTACCGTGAGTAGTATGTAGCGTTACTGACATAATTGAGACTAAGTCGACAGACTAAAGAATCCGAACTTAAAACAAAGCTACGCGAAGGCGATGCGGCGTACATCCTACAAGATCTACAAGCAAGCGAGCAGCTGACGGTAGGCTGCAAGGCTGTAAAAGACCATTCCGATACACCGATAAATGGGGACATGGTCTTAGTCGCGTGTAAGCCAGGCTTGTGAATTTCAGCCGTGGCTTAACTAGGCTCACTGACCGCCCGCCTAATATCGGTCCGATTTGCAGCCAGTCGCATTTTAAGTTGGCGATGAAGCCTCGCCAATTTTCCAAGGCAATTTGGGTAGACAAACAAAATACTGCGTCCATGTCGGTGAATCACCATCTTTTTACAATATTTAGTATGCCTCAGCTGAGCAGGTAATTGTCAAGCTTGTCACCCCAAACAACAAGCCCTAAAAAATTATTGCTGAATTAATGTACTTACCAAATTTATTCATAGCCAGCAGCCGCTCTGGTCTGTCAAGTTCTCTTTGTCGTTCTCTCGACCTTCCAGCCATTCGATCTTTCTAGTTAGCCGTGCCCCCACTTTGGCACCAGCTGCGCCGAGGCCGCAGGAGCCCTGGAAATGATGGCTGCTTTTGTTAGAGTCTCGGGACCACCTAATAGTAATTTTCTCGTTGGGTACCCTGGGATATCAGCAACATTGGTAAGTGGAGCGCTACTGCTCCAGCTTCGGTTGTGAGACGCCAACTTACTTCCGACAGCCTCGTATTGAAGGCAGAGTAGAAATCCGACCTCTGACCGGAATCTCAGCGCCAGTTGCAATCTCTCTGGTACGCATATGCCTACTTCGGCGTGAAACCATCCATCCCTCGGCCGAGTCGATCGCCAAGAAGCATCTTGGCGCACCACGAAAAGAAATTTCTGACTTGGTCGGAAAAGAGTTGCTGTTATTTCGTTGCTCCACAGGAAAGGAATATGAAAGTGTTGTGTTAATGGACTTACCTTTCGTACTCTTCATCCCGTTTGGTCGCGAAGGTCAAGAAGTTAACCGACGGATACCGCCAGCATCGCTACAACTCCCGAGTCGAACAGCGGAGACCTTTTTTGAGTTGGTTGTCACTGTTCAGCAGGGCCAGGAGCTCAAGAAATTTGCCTTCCCCGTCCCAATCCAGAGATATGATACTCTATCAACCTTTGGAATGTATAATCGGCCCGAATCTGCGGAGAGGACAACTGACCATCTAGTCACTCTGGGAATGTCTTTGCCACGATGCTCGTATGGCCCTCTAGATTTGGTTAGCGTGTATGTTAAGCTTTCACCTAATCCAGATTGGTTAAATAAAGCCAAAAAGATCATGATTCAAAAAATTACTGTAGTAATTGAGGAAGAGATCACATTCAACCCTGAAGGTGACGAACCAAACAAGAAAGTCAAGGAAATAGCCAAGCACAATCAGCCAGTCAATATACGCCTCCCTGAAAATGGTTACGTAACGAATTTAGGGCTTGTCTTTCCTTCAAAAGACCCCCGTAACCCAGTTGACGGCTTCACCCGGCGTGGGAAGGCTGCATTTCCGATGCATCTAGTCACAAGTTTCACAACAACAAGTACCCTTTACAAAATTGATTTTTTCCTACGAATCAAGGTAGGGCGATGAAAGACAAATCATTGCTTCACCATCATCCCAGCTAACCCACACAGGCTCACCTATATGGGGCCAAAGATATTACTCTACGACATCCCATCATTGTCTGTCCTCTCGATCATCAAGATTGTCGCGAAGAGATGGATGCCATCGAGCAGGCCGCCAAAGATGCTGCCATGATTGATCCACATAACCCAATGTTGCCAGCCCCCACCATCATCAAGGCCAGTGATCCTAATGCCTTACGGGCTCTTGGACTTGCAATAGTTGGAGGCCTTCACAAAATGTTGATAAACTGAGCATTTACTGCTTTTGAAGGACAGTTCGCCCCACAACTCACATAACTCAAACACCTTCACTTCCTTTTAAAATTTGATCAAGCTACCGAAAATTTATCAACGAAGATGATGCCAAAAGCCCAATATTTAATGCAGAAAATGTTGCGATGAATCTATCTCGATATGGAGTTGGTGAGTTAGGCTTAGCCTATATGACGGGACAGGCGTTTTGGATATTATAACCAACAGATAGGTGGGATGAGAGTATTCGTAGAAGTAAAAGAGCGGTAGTAGTTTGGGATGGGGCTTTCTAGGAAATAGTTGTACACCCCCTTTGGTACCAATTGCTTACAACACTTCAAAAAATTACAATATAACGAGCATTGAATCTCTCAAGCCCTTAGCTTATGGGCCATACTTAGAATTCGAAAAATATTGAAAACAACGTAGATCTTCTCTACTTCATTGATATCATCAACAAAATACTTGGCCGCAATAAAACTTTACAGATTTAGTCTACGTAGGTAAAAGCAAATGGACGTTTATTGTATTTCTAACTCACCTTCTTCGTCGTTAGTTGTGTTTCAGTTAAATACATAGGATGACTTTGGCTTAAACGAATCAGAGAAGCGATGAAAGATCATGATGCCTTGTCTACAACAAGGTAAAAGAACACGATAGCCAGGTGTGAGGAATATATTTTGAGGGTGATGACAACCCGGATGCCTAGTACTCACGAGTGAACATTTTGGAATATATAGCAGCTTAAGAGAAAATATGTAGTCAATGCTGCAAGGTAGGTTTTCCGTCTCGCACTCCGCTCCTTGGTTTTACGATAGGGATATGCATGTAAAAGTGTATAATACGCTAAACTCCCCTGTGTTATATATGATTCCTAAATTTTGTTTTTAATCATTTGTAGTTGATCCAGTCTATACTAGCTATGCCAAACTTAGCCGACCATAAACGAGTAAAATGAAAAATTATAGCTCTCCTTTATAAGAGTGTTATCCCGAACCCTACTTTCCACAAATCTGATATATAGCATCTGCTTCTCTCGCCCTCCACCTCACAAAGTGAGCCGGGAATTTGGAGTTTGGGCCTCGTGGGAGCAGCTCTCCTTCCCGCAGTTCTGTACTATTCCCGCGTGGCTCCTATCTAACTTTAATGGTTATGAAAACAAAAGCCCGAAGGATTATGAAGAATAACTAATCAGTTAATGAGATCGACTCTCTCCCTCTCGACTTCGTGCAAAGAAGCTTCTTCGATAGCCGTTGCTGATCGTATTATGTCTAGGCCCCGCGGCATGGCTTTGCCTAGTGTCACCTGGATGTACATCCATATCACCAACTGCAAAGTTGTGAATTGTGTCTCGCCTACAACGGACAAAGGCAGATCCGGGCCCGCCGGAGGTAAGCCGTGTACTACCGGTGAATAAACTGTCACCGACAGTAGTATTTCGCTCTCGCTCTCGGCTGAATTTCCTTTCACTCGCTAATTCGTCCCGCCAACTTCCTGCTAGGCAGGCATGTAGACAGCCAACGACAGGGCAGCCGCCGTTGGAATAGATGGAGTCCGGATCATTGTCGGGGTCCAGTGTGGCATGCCATTCTTGAATGCAAGCTACGTGACCTCCATGGGCACAGCCTGGACAGTACCACCATGTTCGAAGGGGCCGAAAATCGTGCGTGTCAAAATCATAGTTGCCTTTATACGTTTCACACGTATCCAAGTCGCTGGCAAGATATTCTCGTTGCTCACATATCGGGCATGGTGCCATGAATTCCTGACAACGAGGACATTTCCAGTTTGAATTTTGTATACGTGATATGGGATCAAAAGGTTTGTTACATACCGTGCAAAAGGGACTTACTCGGATATTTTCATGAAAAGCCGTGTAAACCTCGGGATAGTCCGGGACGCAGAGTTTTCGCAAGATTGCAGCTTCAATATAAAGCTCCAGACTGTTAAGACGAGAATGAAAGTGCGACATGATTTGGCTAGCATGAAGAGGATCGATAGTATTTGGAGGGAGGAATGGAAGAAGAAGGAGAATGATAGGAATTAAGTGAATAGGTGTTGATGTTGTGGTCGTATTGTAAGTTACCAGTTCTTTAATAAAATCGATAGGATCTATAATTGGATGTGTGAATATGGGATCGTTTGGATCATGTAAAAAGTCCGATTGTACAAAAGACGGATTTTTATCAACCTTAGCACTCATAGGGGGTTGATGAGTGAAGAGGTGTAGACCGATAGGTTTTGGTCTATCTACCTCATTGGCAGGAGCTTGATATTTAATATCGACTGATGGAAGCTGAGGATCTGTTATTTTCCTTAACGCAGGTTGAAGTACTGATTCTTCTCGAGCCTGTTTTGCTTCCTGTGAAGAAGTATATCCGAGACTACTGGAGCTATTTTGGTCTAAATTGTCGGTTTCTTCGTGGTCTTGTGTCTGGAGAAAACTGTCATTTAACTTTGAAAGTTCTTTTTCTCTTTGGCCATTAGAAGTTGAGCGACAATATGAATGTTCTATCGGATCAAAATCCTTCAAATTTGAGATCTCCTGAACGATCTCAGAGCTAGCTTGACTAGGAGGTATCAGTGGGGTCGATGTATAGTCAATAGTGTAAGATCTCAACTCGAGTCCCCCACTATTTCCATCAGCTTTAAATGAGTTGGATACAGGGATCTGAGCTAGATTATGATCTACCAGGCTAGTTGTCTCTGAAGATTTAAGGGCATCATTTTCTATGATCGATATACAAGGCAATACTCCCGTTTCACGAGATGAGTTACCATCTCTGGAAAGACGAGCTTGCGAGACTACAAACTCAGGGGTAGATTCCTCCTTCTCAAATACATTCTTCTCGAAAATATCATAAACTTTATCTTCGAAATGTCTTTGTGCCGATGCCCTTAGGTCAATCTCTTTACTATCATCAGGCTGAAGATTGAATTGTGTTGGACTAAATGAGCTGTAGTCTGATCTCGATTGCTGATATTCTAGCCGAGAGTCTCGATGGTACTCAGCTCTTCGCGTCAAAAGTAAACCAATACTTGTTTTAAGAAGTCTCCATGTCTGAGATAGGCGATAGTAGCCAAGAATTTCGGCTATGCACCCATAATCTTCTAATATTGAGCTGATACGTTCGTGCGGAAGCACGTTACTCGAATCGTATTTCAGGAGTCGTGTCAAGTATTGGCTACTAAAATGCTGATAATCCAAGGTGCTCAATGCAGTCGGAAAATTACCGACAGCCATTACCTGTTGTGACTGGTAAGATCTAGTAACCTTATTAGATTCTTCTGATATCGTTTTGCCTCCAGCAATTCTAATATTGCTTGGAGAGGCTGGGTTTAGCTGTGCGGAACGACTACTGCTCATTCGGCGGAGCTTTATTTTTTCCTGATTTGAAGCTAACACGCTTGATATCACATCGTCTTCAGAGTCACTCGGACTGATACACATTTTTGAACTTTCGTGGCATAAATTTTCAGGAAATCTATCAGATATCATAGCAGAAGATCTGCGTCTTCGAACAATTGATCGTTGCTCTAGAATCATTAAAATCTTCCCAGCTGTAGAGAAAGAAAAGTTTGATAAGCTTCGCCTGTCTATTAAGCGGGGAACAAACATCATATCCGACTGGATGAACCAGCCCTCTCTCATAGTACTGTTACCATATTTTGTTGTACCAATAGTGTTATTAATTGTCCATAAAATATCAGGTTTCTTCCAGACAAGACCATTAGGAGCGGTGTCCCAACCTTCGTCGCATGGAGGCTTATCTTCAAGCGTGTCCTCGAGACCCTTTAATTCTGGCCGTTGTTGAACAGTAGATGCATTTATCATTTCCCGAGGAGGCCTTGGGTTGTACGGTAACTGCTTGATTGGCATGGTTGGTCTACTTAAGTCCCAGATCTCTACTAGAGCTTCCATCTTTCTATCATCCCGATATACAATGATAATCTGAGAGGCTTTCTTCCCATTGGTGGAAGAGCTATGAATCGCTGGGCGCCAAGATACAATCGAAATTGGTGCTCTAGTTTCAAGAATATGGAGCGCCTTTTGGTTCTTCTTTGCGTTCTTAGAAAGGTCCCACACAAAGCAGAACTGATCTTGTCCACCAGTTGTGACATGCTCACCATTTGGGTGCCATGAAATAGAGCTACACTGACCAGAATGCGCGTTAATCCGTAACATGGGCTTTATAGGATCTCTTAGATCCCACTTCAAGACCTGGCCGAGATCTGTACAACATGCAAAGATGAATCCATCTGTTGGTGACCATTCTACATCTAAAACCTCTGAGGTACATTTAAAAGTATGCCACTGCCGAAGGTACGGAATATTTGAATCCTCACCGGGAGATCTGATGTTCCAACTTTTGACCGTTCCATCTCGACTGGCGGATAAAAGCCATTGCGGTTTGTGGGGACTGACAGCAAGCTTGTAGATATCTCGAGCGTGAGCTTTGACTCTGGCTATCTCCAGCCCTTCTCCTATTTGACTTATATCGTATGCTGTAATGAGCCCATTTGTTGAGGCAGCAATAATTACTTTATTTAAACCACCATGTAGCCACTTCACGGCAACAATATTTAGATTAGTACTTGGTTCTGGGTTGAGAACAGTTGAGCTGCGACTCGTGGCATGGATCCAAATGATTGCTTTCAAATCAATATCCTCGGTGATGGATGAATCTTCAACCTTAAGTATTTTGAAGACCCCCGGCCCTGCAATAACGACCCGAAGACAATCAGGGGATTTATCAAGGCATGATATTTCTTTTCCCACGCAGAAGGCTAAATTTTGAGGTGGTCTTGCTCTTAATTTCTGAGAATTGAGCTGAGATACATCTAGGTCCTCGCGGGGTGTAGCATTCGTTGATGATTGCCCTAGCAAGCGCATAATTTTTTCCCTAGTACTCATATTTGAAGCCAATTCGGATCTATTCACATCTACCTGGATAACTGTTCTGGATTTTAAGGCTTCATAATGGATGTTAAGATTCGTGTCGGCGTGTCACGCTCTACCGATATGAAACGAAATTTAACCGGTAATCCGCCAGATTGGTGCCGTTGGAATTGCGGGTCCAGATTAATGATGTTAGTAGTTATCGACCTGTTAGTGACATTCTGGGCAACGAAACAATAAAACTTGCTATCAGCTGATATTTCACATTCTACTGAATTTCCGGTGATCTGATTTGGGCATGGGTTGCAGTTCACAGAGCCGTAGATACTCAGTGCTAGTAAGGACATGATTAAACAAAACACTCTATTTGCCTAAGGTATTTGGTCACAATGAGACCTAAACTTTGAATAATTGACGAGGCCCGGGTGAGTCTGCGGCGTGTGAATAAGGCTGTACTTCCTAGCAGGTCATGAGTAGCTTGTATATATACTTCGTGGAAATAGTCACGCTACCCATTCAGGGCTTACTTGATGCCCTCTCTTTAGCTGTTTGATAGAGCGTCTGGGGAAACAAGGCTTGTCACCCTCTCTACGCAGGGAGGTTTTATTCCTTCCTCTACACAACGGAAAATCCTGGTCAAGAACACTAGCAGGACTACGATCGCAATTTTCTTAGAATATGGTGTAAAAGTTGAGTCACCGCCATTTTTAACTCTCCACAAGTTTTACAACACTTTGCATCGAGGCTCATGACCCGAGCAGCAGGTCTAGTCACGATAACAACACCAAAATAGCCAAAGCTAGAAATATTGCAGCGGAAGCTATTCCCGTATTCAAACACTAAGTCAACGGCCTTGTTCGTAAATGGGGAAAACCTATACATAATTTTGGACCGTCAAAACCAAAATTTCTGCCGGCAAAGACGATTTTTCACCTTCTAGCGGTGCCTGTGTAATCGCTCAGTATGCTCTGAGTATCTAGGATAGCGAAGAGGAATCACTCTTGAATATATGTAGGACGCAATCTCAAGCATATCTACTATCGATGACTTGTCATCAATGTCGGACCTATCTCTCTGACGCGAGTCCTCTTACTCTATTTTACCACACACACCACCTCGACTCAACGGCTGACAAAGACGGTACTCCAATTGCAAACAGGAACTCACCTCACCTGCTACTGGCCATCACCCACTACCAAATTTACGATGCTGCCTATATCCACAAGCAGGGAATTAGGTCGAAATATACAAAGCCTGGGCCTTGATGTTATGCTCAGCTTTTTTTTTTTTTTTTTTTGCATCAGATTTTAATTGCGTATGCAGCTATCTAGCTATGACACAATATCAAAGAAAAGTACAGAATATATGATTCAACGTAAGGGAAGAGCACTCATGCCTCAGATTTCATTTGCAAGTACCACTGCGAAGTTATGGTGGCTTTTTCTTCACCCCAATTCAACCCTCATCCGTGAATATCCACCCAGGGGAACATCTCAAAAACCCTGAGTTATCCAGACATGCCTTCATCATCTTTCAACCATTCTCCGCGCGATATGTGATCTGAGGTGTCTCTTTCCCAAGTGGAGTAGGTGCCCATGCTACTCAAACCATACCAGAGAACACCACCAGGAGGCGGACCACGACACCTTACATCGTTGGCTTGTTTTTATAGTATCAGCTGCACTCTCACAAGCGAAGTCTTGGCGCGCACAAAGCTCAATTCGTAAAACTGCTTGCCAAAATTCGGAATTTCACTCCCATCATGGTTATATCCTTCCTTTGCATCATCTTGTAAACTTGTCCTGATCCCTCTCACGTCCATCCCAAAGAACTGTCTCCCAGATTTGTGCGCCACGCTTTGCTTCCTCCGTCGGGTATAAATATCGGCGTGGGCGTGTATTTGGTGGTCAACTGAGACCAGAGAAGGTCGAAGAGAGGTGTGGTCATTGGGATGAGGATGTACTAGGTCGTACTTGTAGACTTGATAAGACTCAGGTAGGCGTCAAACTCGTTGGGAGCGGAAAAACGACGTGGTGGAGTAATTTTAAATTTTGCCTCGTGGGCCAACTTCTTTGATATTGCGAAATTTGACTGAACTTGGCTCTGGGAGAATATTTCACTCCCAGGTTCGTAGAGGACACCGCGTACAGGTGTTCAGTCTTGCCCTCCTTATGCTCAGCTATGTAGTATGGTAGGGGGGGTTTTTTTAAATCATTTTGTATTCAGCTATTTAGCTATGACAAGTATGGTAGGTATATTAGCTAGTGCATGGGTAGTTATTATAGTAGTATGGCATTATGTCACATGAAGGAGATCCAGCCTTTACATAAGGGCGTTCTAAATGGTACTGCATGCAGTATGAGAGATGGGTTGTTGATATAGGACAAATGCCATGGCTGCTCAGTTGGGAGCACAATTTGGTGAGCTGCATACTGGCTACGTGATCGGTCTACAAGCGAAAAAGCTAGGGGATAAGGGAAGAGCTTCCCCCAATCTGTAACATAACAATTATCATAGTAACTTCACTTCTGCATATTAATGAAGATAACTCTCGACAAACTACTTGAGACGTTCCGGCGCAAATGTATATTCTCGAATCATATACCAATTATAATTCTTGACTTATGGGGGACCCTTGCTCTACTGGGATTATACAACTTGAGGGATAGACGGCTAAGGTGCAGATTTAGAGAGGGAAGAGATCTCGTGTGGGCATGCTGGGACTGAAATCTTCGAAGCGCTTTCAACTTTGGAGCGTTTGTGGCCACTAAAACGATGGTTTCTGGAAATTATCCAATAGTACTTCTATCGTCGATGAGTCCACCGCACTCCCTCGTACCCTAGACGGCACAAAAGAAGTTAGGCTAATCAATTAAACAGCAATCACGCTCTGTCAAGACTTTCATGACATTTCAACCTGACCTCTAGAAAAGGGTTAGAAGGAGGCTACAAAGGCAGAGTGTGAATTAACTGAGGTACACACAAGTCTGCAGCGCCCATCTGGCAAGCCTCTTCGAACACTGTACAAGGGACACTGTATCTTCGAATTTAGTCCTAATGTTGGAACTAGAAGGGCCCTGCACCCAGCGGTTATTGCAATTTTTCCCGGCTGCCATACACCCGCAAATGGCTATCGTTTCGTTAGCTGGGGAGGGGAGATAATGAAAGGCAAAGGACTTCTCTCAGTGTATGATCGAACGAGGACTTTTGTGGGGCCCTCCTTATACCGATAGTAGGACTAGATCCGAAGACATTCAGGCATGTACAACTCTGCACAGAGCTGAAATCTCTTTGCAGATTATATCAGGTAAAGAATGCTACGAGTGTTAGTTAGCTGGGCTGACTGAAGGGCCCAGCCTTGCATGTAAGTGAGAGATGACCAACGAGTCTGGCTCTTGGACCAAGTTAGACGCTTAGTAAGTGATTATTTAAGGTTTTCATCATTATACTTGATACATCGAGTCAATTCCGCTGTCGTGATCTCTTCGAAAAAAAGTATAGATTGTTTTGTGGCATTGATTGCGTAAAGCGATCGTGCACTTCGTCCTTTTACATAGAGAGGGAGAAAATACTGGCATAGTTATCATTGGGCTGTATCCAGAGAAGACCTACTTCTACACAGTCTCAAACAAAAAAAGAAGTATATTATACAAAGAGATAAATTTCCACTATGTAAGTCTAAGTATTTAAAATTTAATAGATTTATATATAGTCTATATTAAGCTTACTAAAGTGATATTTGTGTATATGTGAAGAATCCGTAAACTAGCAGGGCTCTCAGACATTATAAAAGAATAAGAGATTTATGTAAGATTTGAAGAAGTCAATTTGCTTTAATACTCTTGAATACTTGCAAACCTTTTCGGAGATCACTCCATTGTCCAACCCAACTGTCCATGAAGTAATTTTGTTTTGCCAGCCATGGCGCTTTGTTGCCTGATTTAGGTAGAATTCCGCTGGCTTTCTGTATATAAGTAGAGCTAAGATTAAGGATGGGATAACTCTTCATTTGTGCAGCTTCAGCTGTAGACATTCGAGGTACAACAGTTGTTTCTTTGAGGTTAAACTGTTTGAAGAGGCGGCAAAGAAGTAGCGTAGTAGAATCGGCACCTAATGTCCAAGCTGCGTTCGTGTAGCCAATAATGAATGCTGCGTTAGGTATATCTTGCATCATAGCGCCTCTCCATAAATATTTTGAAGATATGTCCACAGGTTTCCCATCTAAATTTATAGAGGCTCCTCCGGCGAGTTGCAACTTGAGACCAGTAGCTAGGACAATGATATCAGCATCCAAAGACTCCCCGCCGGTGGTTTGAATGCCAGTGGCCGTGACAGTCTTAATAGTATCAGTGACAACACTTGCAGTTCCATTACTAAGTGCAGAATAAATATCTCCGTCGGGAGACAAGCAGAGTCGCTGCTCCCAAGGATTATATCGTGGGCTAAAGTGAGGATCAACCGAAACGTTCGACGGTAGCTTAGCTTTCGACACTGCCCGCATTAAGTTTTTAGCGACACCAGGAAAGAAACGACAGAACTGGAAGAAGCAAAATGGTAATACTAGAAACTTAATTCGCGTAATTCTTGCGGCAAGACGAACAGGTAGAAGACGTCGTAGAAGCGCATACACCTTATCTTTTGCAGGCGATGCAAGTATGTAGGTTGGGCTACGCTGAAGCATTGTTACATGTGAAGCTTTCTTGGCCAAATTTGGAACAAGAGTAACGGCGGTTGCACCACTTCCAATAATAACGATCTTCTTGCCCGTATAATCCATATCTTCTGGCCAGAATTGAGGCCTGACTAATGTTCCCTTAAAATTTTCGAGACCCGGAATGTCGGCGGTGAGCGGCTCCTTGTAATTGTAGTAACCCGTACAAAATATAACAAATCGAGCTTGATATTTCACTGTCTGGCTTTCGGTGTCGACATTTAAGTTCCATAGCTGTTCTGTAGATGACCAATTTGCGCTTGTAACCTTGTGTCGATAGCGGATCTTTTTGTCGATACCTTCAGTTTCAGCACTTTCGCGCAAATATGTTCGGATAAGTTCGCCGCCAGCAATCGACTTCTCTCCTAGCCATGGGCGCCAGGAAAAACCGAAAGTATGAAGGTCGGAATCTGAGCGAACTCCCGGGTATCGAAAGAGATCCCAAGTCCCTCCCATTGTGTGACGCCCTTCGAGTATTGTGTAGTCGCATTCTGGTAGCTCTGATTGTAGGCGATAACCTGTATTGATACCAGAGAGCCCTGCACCAATAACTATGATGTGGAAATATTCTGCCGGCTGCTGTTGTTGCTGATTTTGGGAATCCATGATGTGACTTGAGCAGCTGAGAAAATTGAGACGAATGTTTGCATGTCTAAATCCGCCGGCCAGCAAACTGTGCCGCGTACATATTTGTTAGCAACCTTGGTAGTCTTGTGCATGAGCACGGGCCGTTCCACACTGATGGGCTCAACTAAACATAGTGCGGATCTCTCTGTGGGTTCTGATCGGCACTAAAGCTAGGGGCCAAGTTAATTCTCCACCCGCCTGATGGTTTGCTTAGCAAGATAAACATGTAGACCCGATTTCATCCAGGTTGAGCTGCATCTTACCGTGGTAATCAAGCTATTTGAGCAGTTCCTCTCAATCTGACATGACACTCTAAAAAACAAGATGGTTTTCTCGGATTTACGAGTCCTCTCGGGTTCTAACCCTGGATGGCGTTAAAGGGAAACTATTTCTAGTCAGGAGCTGCAGGGATAGTACTTGTCGACAAAATTTACGTCATAGGCCTTCGACCCATCAGTAGTCCGGACAAGCTATTTCAAGGCAGCGAGAGCGCATAGATGACTGAATCTCGAGGCTACCAATACGTAAATATATTTCCTGGCTGTCGTGCACAGTTAAATGATGTGGACCTGTGAGCGGGTGCATATTTAAGTATAACCAGCTCTAGCTATGCGCTCATGTGATTTATGAGGAGTGGGAGTTATGCAAGCATTGAAAGTGATCCGTGCGTGAAAATACCTAATAAGGGCGGTCTTTCTGGTTGAACCCCGGTAAAACACTTTAATGATCTAGGTACAATACGAGATTGAGCCAACATTTATAGAACGTAATGAATTTGTTGGTTGCATATATTGTTCTAGTGAGTCTACGACTATTTAATGACATGCAGGTCCCATCTGCATTTGAGATATAAATACTTGTACCTCGGAAGAAGCTCCCTTCCATTGTATCCTCAACGTTATCTCTCGAGCAGTAACGCCCCCACTATTCTCTGGAAGGCATTGTCACAACTGTGACCTAGAGAATACGGATAGAATTCCGCCAGTTGTTAACAGTAGAGTATCGTCGAAGAGAGCAAGCATCCAGGAACACTTATAAACTGGATCTTGATAGAGGTTTACATGGTATGACTGTGTTTAAGCCCCGTAAAGCCCTCGCTTGCCGGTATTATCACTTAGAATCAAGTCACGCCACAACGGCTGCGTACCTCTATCGTCTAAAAACACGAGAGTACAATATGTGCCACTAATACAGCCGGAGGGTGCGACAAACAGTCTGACATCTAGTGCTGAACTGCCGAAGATGGAGGAAAGTCGGAAATATGATGAGGAGATAGACGGGAGGGGTAAAAGGCTCAACTATTAATAAAATGAATATGGCAATAATTTGTGCAGATTAAAGGGCAACAGCCAGATTGCTAGAGGTTTTGAAGGAAACAGAATTAGGTAAAGAAATCTCTGAACGGGAGGAAGATCTTTACAGGGTGGGACAGCTCGAAGAGCTTGAATGAATGGAATGAAGTAGGTGTTGAGGATAACATGGAGAGGGGTTTGGGTGTAGGAGTCTCTTGAGGAATACGTAAATATACGAGGCAACGGTGCAGAAGTGCGGGAGGAAGGAGAGCTGCTGCCGCGAGAATTAAAGGATAAATATCCGGCTCACCTTTTTTTTGCATCAGATTTGAATTGCGTATGTAGCTATCTAGCGATGACACAACATCGGAGAAAATCAACAGAAAATATGACTCGATTACAACTAGAGCACTCATGCCTCAGATTTCATTTGCAAATACCACTGCGAAGTTACAATGATTTTTTCTTCACCCAAAGTCAACCCTCATCCGTGAGTACCCACCTAGTGGAACGTCTCAAAAACGCTGAATTTTCTTCGCGCAAAATGTGGTCTGAGATGTCACCTTCCCAAGTGGAGTAGATGCTCAGGCTACTCAAATTATACCAGAGAACACCACCTGGAGGCGGACCACGACACCTTCCATCGTTGGCATGTTTATATAGTGTCAGCTTGAGTCTCGCAAGCGAAGTCTTGACGCGCACGTGGCTCAAGTTGTGAAACTCCTGGGCAAAATTCAAAATCACACGCTCATCGAGATTGAAACCATCCTCCGTGTCATCTTGTGGACTTGTCCTGCTTCTTCTCACGTCCATCCCAAAAAACTGTCTCCCAAATTTGTGCGCCACGCTTTGTTTCCTCCGTCGGGTGTAAAAATTGTCTTAAGCGTACATTCAATGATCGGCTGAGGCCCTAGAATAATCTATGAGAGGTGTGGTCATTAAAATGAGGATATACTACGCAGTGCTTGTAGACTTGATGAGACTTAGGCAGCATTCGAACTCGTTGAGAGTGAAAAATTGACGTGGTGGAGTACTTTGAATCATTGCTTTATTGGCCAACTTTTTTGGTATTGCGAAATTTGACTCAACTTGGCTCATGGAAAAAATCTCACTCCCAGGAATAGTTAGATGGCTGAATACACTGTATAAAAAAAGAGGCCTAGACACTGGAAGAACACGAGCTGCTCATATCCATCTATACCTCCATTCTGTGTAACATTTAATTTCATCTTGATCCAATCCACCATAGTCGTATCGGGTGCTGGCTACGATCCGGAAACTCACTATATAGCTTTTTCCCCATGATCAAGGGTAGGTGATGAGTATGGCTTTGAGCTCACAATATAATCTGACCGTGATTAGCTTCGTGATGATAGTAACAGGGGAATGTGTCGAGAGATGAAGACGATACAGTCTGCAAAAACGATTGGAAATCCTCATCAAAGTGAGGACCATATTACTCAGTATTGGCTCTACAGACCCTACAGCGAAAGCTGGAGATCCGTAGGGGACATGAATGAAAGGTATTGAGTTTCGCAAGCCATCAGAATATACTGAACAGATCAAATATATGTAATAACATTAAATTAAAATTTGTAAGATAGCTTTTGTAGCCGTTTATAGTAATGCATTAGCAGGTTTGTCAAATCAATTCGTTCTTTTCATCAACCCGCACCAGCCCAACTTTGTCTTTCGGCTCATGAATATTAGTAAGAGATTCCTTAGCAAGGCCCAAAGCAGTTTTGCAGTTCAGATAAAAGGTGAGCACATTGGTCTCAATTCTTATCTGTATCAAAGGAAAGTTCCCGGAGTGATTAATCCAAAATGTTAGTATGGATATCGATCTCAAAATGTCAAACATATGGTCTTGGCGTGTCCTCAGTGGGCAAGAGGAAGAAGAGAGGTGCTTCGAAAGGCAAAAGATAGGGTTTTCATGGCAATGATGGGTAGCCCAGATGATATAGAGAGGATCACAAAATGGATCCTGGAAAAAGGTTGGTTTGAACAATTGCGGCTTACAAAGTAGAGATTGCATTGGACTAAAAAATGAAACGACGTGAAGAAGAATAGGACGGAATTCACACTGTATGAACAGTGTGAATGAACTTCCAACAGGAAACCTCAGAAAACAAATAACAATGAGATGTGCGGCTTTGGGGGTACTTATCGAATTGGTTTCCTGCTTTATAGATATTGCAGCTAGATATACCTGCATGGGCCCATTGGGTACCTGACCGGCCTGAGTGAAATCAAATCAATTGGATGCCACATTCCTGGTACCCTGCAAACACGAACTAAGGCACTCCTAGCCACTAATCATGATAATTACTGCATCCACGACGCAAATATCCTGAAATAATATTGGCTACAGCTTGCTCGGCCATTCACATTTAAGGCTACCTCAAGAAAGCATGCTGTTCCGAATCTCCTACCTATTTCCACTAACTCAGCTGGCCATCTGTGTCAGCGCGCTATCGTGGAACTTTGACGAGGCTATAATTTCCATCACCGGTAAAGCTGGCTCTCGGCAAGCGTTTAAGGACAAGTACGCAGCTTTTGAAATGATTCTAATCGTACAAATTATGTGCTGACTGCTTCCGCAAACAGACTCTCCGATCATGTTCCACTAGCTAAGCCTGTACTCCTCGGCGAAACTGATACTCTCAAGATTATTTTCACAGCCACTAGTGATGGTATCGCAAAGAGACCCCATCAAGCATTCCTGCTACTTAGGGATCAAGATACGGGGGTTGAAACCGCATTTGTCTCTTCCTTCAAAGGGAATGGTCGGGGAAAAGTAGAATTCGTATGTGCCTTCATCCAGAATCAATTATTATCGTTGACTTTTCAAAGTCACAAAAAGATATACCCAGTCCCTTACTACAATCGTCGCAACCACTGCGAGCTACTTTCCTGCTAGGTTCCTTTGGAGAATCACAAGCCTTTAGGAATCACGTTTTCAATCTCATAGTACTCACTGATCAAGGTTCCTCAACAAAATACGAGAAGCCTTTGAGATACGGCAGGCGAGACGAGATTAACCATACTTTTAGACCTGACCCAAAGAGCGGCCCTATATTTTTATCAGCATTCTTCACCCTCGCAATCGTTGCTACTGTACACATACTATTTGCCAGCGTATGAGACCCAAGTACTCATGTTACTGTGTCTCAGCTAATAGAATACAGTGGATTTACTTTGGTGCTAACCTATCACACTTACCAAGTTCCCTAAAGATCGCGCCTTTGTCACATACTTTATTTTATGGTTCGATTTTAATGATTGAAGCATTATTTTTCTTTTACTACTATAAGTGGAAGTTATTTCAGCTACTGCCATCAGTTGCAATCCTGGGCTTCATTGCCTGCCTGAGTGGACCTAAAGCGCTCTCAGAGGTACAGGGACGTCGTCTTGCAGGCGAGAGGTAAAACTACGGTTGAATGGGACCAGGGTCATGTGGATTTAGGTTCTCAAACAAAATCTACAAGTACAAGACCACTCAGAGCAATATCTGCATTTCAAATAATCATCAATTAGAGAATTTGCATTACAAGTAGTATTTGCCAAGATTTAGCAAGTATTTCATGGGTAAATTAACATGATTAGATCCCCGTTTAATTTGCTGGTATCTGAAATTTACAAGTGGATATGCCAATTCATCACACTGAATTATCCGATTTTTGCATTACTGAAATCCATTTCTGGATGCTGGAAGTCAAAAAGTCAGTGGGTTTTAGATACGATGCTCAGAAAATGCGAACCTGTTTTTTGAAACTTTCGAGCATGTCTAACTTCTTCTGCTCATCACTAGTCGGCTTTCCTATTTCTTTTTGTCTTTGGTCGTACATCATTTTCTCCACCATGCTTCTCGTTTCTCCGTCTAGATCACTTAATTTACTATTCTCTGGCGTGATTTTTGTGACATCGATTTTGGGAGCTGTGATGATGACATGCTCCCACCATTGCATTTTATTTACCTTATCGATGTGTAGCGACAAAGTTTTCATACCTGAAGGAGAAGTAGTAAGGGTCCATGTAGACTCGTCAACAAGAATTTCGTGAGGGAGATCGCCCTGGTGAAGATGTGATTAGCCAAGGTAGATGAGGGTGGAAGATGAAAGCTACGCTCAGAATCTCCTCTTGGCCTTTGATAGCTACGTGTAGAGATTTTTTATTGATGCGTACGACCAAATCTCGGCTTTTTAGATTTCCAGGAATTTCAGTCGTTATGTCAACGTCTGCAATTGTCTGCGTCCACTTGTAGGGTAATGCTGCTTGTTCTTCGGCCTCTTTTGCGCGGGCTGCCGCCTCCTCCTCCTTGGTCAGTTCTGTTCACGGTATCAGTCTATTAAATTTAACCCGGCAGGTTGAGTATTAGCCCGCGACTGGGCTCGCAAACAAATTTTCGAAGACAAACCTTTTTCAGTCATAGTGCACAATTATTTGTCTCGATAGAAGACAGTCAACGCTCGATTATGGGCAGCTACAAAATTGATGCGGGGGCCGTACAAGAATGGTCGACCAGGTGCTATGTCTAGAAGCTTCGGTGTGGTAAAGCCACTAGCGATGAATACAGACCAGTTCTGGCCAAACGAAGAGGATTTGGATGGGAGAGAAGTTCGTGTTAATTTAACGACCCCCAACCACGTCCCTATAGATTGTTTATCGCGTATGGATCCAGGGTATACATGCCGAATCTAGTGAGATGAGATTCTCACGATTGTCACGATTTTGAGTGGGGAGAAGCCAAGTATGGAGCGAACGAATGGAGGGGTAAATGGACACACATGTCCCGAGGCGGGGTCAAAAGGCCCACAAGAATTTGGCCAGGCGAAGCCGAGAGACGTTCGGATATGCTTTGCATCTGCTCGGCCGGACATGTTTTATTATTGGACAGCGTTGCCGCTATAAATGACGGCTACATCGATCACTTGACCGGCCTAGACGCAATTTCGACCTTGATCGAATATCACGTGGGATACCACTGATCCTTGTACCTTGGACTCATTCTCCTAGACCGAATAAGCCGTTTTCCCGACTTATGTTCTCCAGCTGCATGTGCGAGTTCAAAATTGGGTCGGTGTTCGTGGAATCTTCCCGACTAATCCCCACATACAGCCGGCAAAGACGAATTCTTCACCGTCCAGTGGTGTCGGTGTAATCGCTCAGTCTGCTCTGCATATCTGGGATAGCCAAGAAGAATCGCATCCGAATCGAAGTCGAAAGCAACCTCAAGCATATTTCCATTTGACGACTTCTTGACAATGCCTCTCTTACCATACTCAACTGAGTCCTCAACCAACGGGTAAACACTGAGCTGAATGGCTATTCATCACGGGCAACATATCAATTAACTTACAAGTAACAAAAGAGGTAAGGAGCACTGTACAAGGTGTGGCCTGGGTCAGAGAGGAGCCCAATATGCTAGATAGTCATAGACTCAAGTAGTACAATAAAACACACACACACACAATTTTTTGAAATTCGAATTTTCGAATATTCACCCTTTCCCCCTCTCCCTCCCTCTCGCGCTCGTCGCATCCCTTCAATAAATTGTAATCGAGTCACTGGCATTTTCGTCATGCCACCTGTTCGAAAAAAGCTCCCCAACTCAATGTTGGACAACGCGAGAGTCCGCCCGAGGGCTCCTGCAAAAACACCTGGCCTCGCGCAAAAATTATCAAGCCTATTTGCGAGTGAGGCCTTTATCCCTGGGAAGTCTCCAAACCTTCCCGATCAAGAGATGACTGATTCTGACCCGATCAGAACAGAAACAAATGGTCAACAGACCGGGAAACCCGCCGAGCTGGCCCCCGAGGCAAGCAGTTCAAGGAAAGGAAAGGAAGTCGTCCGAGAGAAGACGACAGAACAAGCAGAAACATCTGCAAGAAAATTCACTGTGCCAACTCCGAAAGGCACAGCTTCGACATCAGCACCGGAATATCCTCCGGAGCTGCAATCAGTGATGGAGGCCGAGAAGCGTCGCACGACGCAAATCAAGGCACGTTTATCAATCTGTTCCACTGCAATAAGCAGTGTTGAAGCAGCACTCTCGCCTCTCTCGATTGGCGACGAAAAAGAGTTTGTAGACGGCATCAAAGTCTACCTTCGAGCGGCCATTGGCCAGTTCATACAATCAGGCCCAGGGAGCACTCCACTAGCTCTCCCTGCGCGCCCCAGCAACCCTCCTCCGCCGAGGGCTCATGAAATTAGGGTACCTAACCCTTCGACAACCCAGGCTCCGGCACCAAAGACGACTTGGGCCACAGTAGCCCGTGCAGGTCTAGGCCGCAGCGCCGGGCCGTCGACTACAAAGGCAGCACCGCCCGCCCCAAAAGCAAAAAGTGCCAATCCGAGGACAAAAGTCGACACGAGACTTTTTCTACGCCTCAAAGCTAACCACCCCCACCGACTCCTGTCACCAGCTGGCGTAAGATTAGCTGTGTCACAGGTGCTTGGTACCGCTGCCGACAACATCACGTTGGTTCAGCGGGTCAAAACAGGCTTTGCACTGACAGCAAAGAACGAACTCGCTCGGAAAGAGCTGCTAGATTCCTCCATGTCACGGAGCGAATCTGGAATCAAACTGGAACCATCGTCAAATCTGGTTGCCTTGCAAATTGCCACCGTACCGGTGACAATAAACACACTTGCAGGTCTCATCGAGATCACGGCAAAGATGGTTGCTGACGAAGTCACGCGAGTGACGAAATCGGTTCCGTTTCTTGTCCGTCCGCACGGGTACTGCAAGCCTGGGGCGCCATACGAGAACTGGCAAGCCCTCTTTCCTCGCGAGTCCACGCCCCGACCTGGATTCCGCCTCTTCGACGATTCTGGAGCTGCGAAGCTCTTCCGACCTCGTCCACAACTCGAACAGTGCAAACGTTGTCTTGGCTATCACGCCAGCCGCGGATGCTCTCGCGCTCCAGCTTGCTGGAACTGCGGCTCAAAGATGCACTCGGAAGTGGAGTGCAAGGCCCTCACACGATGTCGCAATTGTGGGGGACCTCACCGATCGGACTCTCGGCACTGCCAAGCCAGACCCAGAAAAGATGGACCGGTGACCAAGGAACAGCTCGCAGCAATTCGCAGAGTCGAGCAAGAAAGATATGCAGACTTTGCCCGTGTCAAAGCTGCATACAAAAAAGACGAAGAGGCGAGGAACGCCTCTGCGAAGGACGTCTCCATGGCGGAGGGATCGGGTTTCGGAATTTTAGAAACCGAAGAAGAAGTTTGAGGACTCGGCAGTCCTTGGTGAAGTCTACGACAACTTTCACAACAAAAAGCAGGAAACCAGCCGACAGCAAAGGTTACCTGAGAGCTCATCTTTCGCTCTCAGCGGAGATTAGGAAAAGTCACTTGGAAGATGTGACATGGAAGGAAACGAGTGAGAAGCGCGGGATCTGGATCACATATGAAATTCTTCTAAATTATTATTTATTTCTTTCAGTTTATTTCAGTTTTTTTGTTTGATTTACGCTTTGATTTTAGTTTTGATTTAAGTTTTGTTGTTAACTTCATCTACTTTTGTTGAGGTTCCCGCGGTTGGAATGAGTTGGGCCTGTACGCAGAGATCCCCACCGGCTCCACCAGTCTTGTACCGATAGTGGACCTAGAGCTTTAGCTTAGGACTTTAAAATTAAAAACAAAAAAAACAACAACACTGAGTCCTTAACCTCTCTCTAACCATGCATCATCTTGCCTCGACGACCAATAAAGAAGTTGCACCAATTGCATACAGGAGCTTGCCCCATTAATCTCCAGCCATCCCTCACTACATATTTTCGACGCTATTTATACCCGTAAGGAGGACATCGAGTCGAAAAATATAAAGCCTGGGTCTTGGCGTGTGGAGAACTATTGCTCTAATGGGACAAACAACTTGAGGGAGAACAGGTGCCTGAGAGGGGAGCGAGAGGGGGAACAGGACTCTGAGGGTCATGCTGAGACTAATATTTTCGAGTGATTTTCAACTCTGGAACTTTTATTTTTTGCATCAGATTTGAATTGCGTACGCAGCTATCTAGCTATGACACAATATCGGAGAAAAGTACAGAATAGATGATTCAACGTAAAGGAAGAGCACTCATGCCTCAGATTTCATTTGCAAGTACCACTGCGAAGTTATGGTGGCTTTTTCTTCACCCCAAGTCAACCTTCATCCGTGAATACCCACCCAGGGGAACGTCTCAAAAACCCTGAGTTATCCAGACATGCCTCCATCAACTTTCAACTTTTCTTCGCGCGAAATATGGTCTAAGGCGTCTCCTTCCCAAGTGGAGTAGGTGCCCAGGCTACTCAGACTATACCGGAGAAAACCACCAGGAGGCGGACCACAACACCTTCCATCGTTGGCTTGTGTTTATAGTGTCAGTTACACTCTCGCAAGCGAATTCTTGGCGCGCACAAAGCTCAATTCGTAAAACTCCTTGCCAAAATTGGGAATTTCACGCCCGTCGAGGTTATATCCTTCCTCTGCATCATCTTGTCAACTTGTCCTGACTCCTCTCACGTCCATCCCAGAGAGCTGTCTCCCAGATTTGTGCGCCACGCTTTGCTTCCTCCGTCGGGTGTAAATATCGGCGTGGGCGTGTATTTGGTGGTCGACTGAGGGCCAGAGAAAGTTGAGGAGTGGTGTGATCATTGGAATAAGGGTGTACTAGGTCTTACTTGTAGACCTGATGAGACTTAGGTAGAAATTAAACTCGTTGGGAGGGAAAAAACGACATGGAGGAGTAATTTGAATCATTGCCTCGTGAGCCAACTTCTTTGATATTGCGAAATTTGACTGAATGTGGCTCTGGGAGAATGTTTCACTCTCAGGTTCGTAACGGACACCGCGTATAGGTGTTCAATCTTGCCCTCTAATTAGTTCTATCATATTCAACTGTTTAAGAGTTGGGATTCATCTGATGTTAGTCAATCACTGCCCCCCACACCTTCATGCACTAGGATATGCCACGTGACTATCACTTTAACATCGCGGCTTACGTGACTAACGAAAGTTAAGTCCAAGACTATCACGTTTTCCTTGAGAATGAACACCTAAATCAACGAAAACGAGGCATACAACATACGTCGAAGATGCAGCGTGGTGGGGGCAAAGCACAGGGTCATCTCTTATCTGATGACATCTGTCCTGTGTGCAAGTCGAACCGCTACCTCAATCCAAAGCTCGAATTCTTCATTAATCCCGAATGTTATCACAAGATGTGTTCCACGTGTGTAGACCGCATCTTTACATCTGGCCCGGCTTCCTGTCCCGTTCCCTACTGTGCCAAGACGCTGCGCAAGCGTGGCTTTCACAAGGCCTTCTTCGCCGATCTCAAGGTGGAGCGCGAGGTAGATATCCGGAGGCGCGTCGGTGCCGTCTTCAACCGGCGCCAGGATGAATTTGAGACGCTCCTCGATTGGAATAACTATCTGGAAGAGGTAGAGGGTTTCGTTTTTGATCTTGTCGAAGGCTCGCGGGAAGAGAAGCTGCGGGCCGAGGAGCGACTGCGACAGTACCGCGAAAGTAACAGTCTCGATATTGAACATAACCGCCAGGTTGGTCTAGAAGCTGCCGAAGTCAAACGACAGCGCGACCGGGTCGAGCGTGAGGCACAAAGACAGCGTAAGCAGGTGGCCCACCAGGAAGCCGAGCAGATGAAAGCAGATATTGAGCAGAGTCGTCGAGAGACACTAGAACGCCTCGCTACTACTGATGAAGACCCGGCCGAGGTAACGGCACGCGCACAAAAGGTTATTCTAAAGAAATCAGCTACCCAACGCCAGCGCCTGCTTTCCCTTAACGACGAAACGCTTCATCCGCCTAGCGAGCAGCTTTCCCTTCGTGGCCTCAAGCGAAAGGAGGCGCCTGTGTTAGCCCTAGACTACGATCCATTTGGTGGAATTGACTTCACGCCTACGCGTTATCTTCTACAGGAAGACTACGATTGCGAATGGCTCGAACCTGCCAAAGCTGACGAGCGACACTTAGCTGGTGGCTACAGTTTTAGCGACTATTTTTCGCGTACTATGTTCGAGGCCTTCTCTGGACTCGGTATATGCATTGGTGAAGCCGAAGGAGAAGCCTTCGCTGAAGTAGGTGATGCTGGCTGTTCGAATTAGAAAAGGAGTTCGCTATCACCACTGCAAGCAGTCTCGGGTACCTCGCCCAATTAAAAACCCAAGCTGTAATGAGTGATTTCTCTTTGGTCTTTCAAGATTTTCACTCCGCAGCGTATTCTCTAATCTACAAGGCCGAATAAATTGTAAGCTTACCTGCACTCTTTATTTAATTCAACTTTGGACGTCCAGGTATTATGTATTTGTCACTAGCGGGTCTATGTCGGCGAAAATTTAAGTCTACTTAGTAATTTGTCCCAAAGATATAACACGCGATATATATAATGCGGCGGTCGATTAGCACTGTGAATGCTGGCTAAAAGCATTAAGGGTTTAACCAGCTTAATTTAATGGACATAAGTATTTCACAAGCTCAGTGCCCCATTACTATATTTAACAGCACAATTCTTGATACCTTAGGCATGTTTGATGGAACAATGCCTATATTGAGAACCCAAATACCAAACGCCGTGCTTTCATCATACATTTCCAGAACTCCATTCAAGACAGCCACTCCTACTGCCATGTTTGTGGCTGTACGGATCGAGGGAATACCGGTACAGTTTCTAAACTGTCAAGCCCACCTCCTATTGGCAGTTGGTTATTTTGCCATCCTATTCCTCCAATGCTATTTGTAAATTGACTCGATCGAAATGGGTTGGTGTTACCTGTTGGGTGCGTGACCCCCTCACCAGTCTGAGACCCAATCCTCGAGTCGGAAGTGGCGGGGTCAAGACGATTGGAAAATGGGTTAGAAGTGCCAGTGACAAGTGGTTGCATTGAAAAACCTGTATGGGACTGCTGTTGTGGTGGGGTTGGTTGGAAATTTTGGCCTGTCACCTGCGGAAAGATCTGGGTTGAACCATTCACAGGCTTCGCGAAAGGATTGGTAGATTTTCCATGGATAGGGGAAGTTCCCTGGGACGAAGGATTTAATATTCCAGTGATGTTATTCGCGTTCAATTTCATAGACTGACGGAATGGATTGGTTGATTGCATTTCTACGGGCTGTGGAATAACTGCCTGTGGTTGGGATACTTGAGACTGGAAATTTACTGCAATATGCTGAGGAATTGGGGTTAGATTACTTGGCTGGAATGAAGGTTGGGGTGTGAAGCCTGTATAGCTAGAGTTTCTTAAGTTGGTCTGTATATTTGATGATACTTGATTGTTAGAGAAACTTGTTGCATCGTACAGTTGTTGGAATGGATTAGGAGTTTGAAAGGAATTTTGTTGAGAAACGAAACCATTATTCTGCAACTGTCCATAATAATGGGCCTGAAACATATCAGCAGACTTGAAGTTGGTAGCTTCCGGCTGCCCAATGGATTTACTGGCAATAGGTTCTTGTTTCTGTTCGATTGACTCGAAAAAATCTATAAGATCTGCATCTGGGATTTTGGTGGGCTTTGTTGCATTGTCGCGTGTAGTTTCTGGGAATGTACGACTCATAGCTACTTGAGTTGGAGGTTCGATTTTGGTAATATTTTTGTTGGGCCCATTTCCATTGTTTTTGCTCTTTTTGGATTCCTGCTCTGCTAAATATTGTCTTCGGTTCGCCTCAAATTCAGGATCCAGTAGATAATCGTCTAGTTGTTTCCCAAGATTTGTAGGAGCGTGCTTTAACTTGGGCACTTCTACTCGGGTTTGGTGCTCATACTGTCTAGCTACACTCAGGTACTGAACAACAAGGTCTGTTTGCTGGGTAAAATTATTGTAAATTTTCAGAGAGCGTTCGGCATCTGGTCTTGACATTTCGAAGAAATGACCTAGTCTGATTGTTACTTTTGGCTCTAAAATGAGGGCGCTAGCATACCCAGAATCTTTATTAGGCCCGTGTTCATGGCTTGAAACATGGCGAGGAGGTCTAACACCAACATGCGAAATACTGTGATAGTTATTTCATTCTCAGGTTCATTGTCAAGGACCTAAGAACCTCAGCTAAAATCGTCTTATCGAAGGGAGATTCTCACATCACATTTCAGCAAGGCTGAAATCTGGTGCTGGACTGATTCTGTTTCTCTAAGCAAGCCTTTATCCACTGTGAGTCTCTCCAACCTTGTTGCTGCTCCCCGGACAAAATCACATTTCGTATCTTTGAAAGACCTCGCTCTTTCGCTTAGATAGTTTGTGTAGTGCCTGATATTACGACCTTGAGTTTGTACTTTGGAACGTTAGAGGTACTTCACAAAACAAGCAAACGTGAAGAGGCATTTAAAGATTTGATCCACAAGCTTACCGTCAGAAAAGCTACTTATAGCTAATATATTCCTATGCCTTGCGAGATAAGCCAGGGTAACGTCTGGCGATCCTTCTCTGATCATTAGATGGACAGTTATCAGACTTTTGAAGACTACAGTCCAAGTTGAATCACAAAGTCTATGCTGCAGTGCGCGAAAGACTTCTGCAACTCCGGGCTCCCCGGAATGCGTTGCTATGAGGATGTGTTCGATATATCTAGTTCATTACATAGTTAGCAGTGCAATTGCTCATCAGAGACGTGGTCGCAAACTTCGATTTAGGAGGAGAAGCCTAGTTGAAATTAGATTAAAGAGATAAGGATAGGTTGCAAGAAAGTGAGACTGCGAGGCTGACCTTAAACTTAGTGGCTCCTTTGACAGATTTTTCAAAGGAGCTTGCCATTTTGGCAGAGGTATCAAATTCGGAAAGTGTGTGGGCAATAGGAGAGTTAGCTTTGCCCAAGAGCGATAACAATGTTGATATGGAAAGGCTAATGAAAACCGGCACCACAGGTACCAATTCCCAAAGGAGCAAGGCAGAATTATGCTTGACTCGTCAGGCTACAAGTCTCCTAGGTTTCGGATGCAATTCAGTATGGCAAATGTCTTCATGCTGATCCGGCATAATAATTTGTTTCGGAACTTTACATAAATAAGCTTGTTGGATGATGCTAGCACAAGGTGATTAAACATCGGTCGGCCCGGAACCGGGTTGGCGCTAGCCCCGGTTCCTAATTTCGCAAAATTATGAATGCCAAATGTAGGCTAACAATGATTATTGCTGGTGCCTGGCACATCATTGTAGCTGCAGGATTTTGAGTTTACTAATTGGATATCTTGGCAACTAGATCGTCTTCGTCTCCGTCTCCAAGTAATTGCTAGCCTCAAATTGGGTATCTCCTAAGGATTTGATATTCCGAGAGAGTGAAGGCTCAACACCAAATGAAGTTTCCAAAACCCCCCTAGACCTCTCTGGAAACTTTTATAGAGCAAGGTTTAGGTGTGTGTTAGTTACGCTCTCAGGGCTCCAAACATGCAATGAGCAAGGCAGTGTAGGTGCTTGAACATGACACACCTACACGTGACATGAATGCCAATCTAGTCTTGGCATTACTCAGCAAACACCCACACCTCATGTATATAGAGCTCGCTGTAGTAACTCCTATTTCTCCTTCCATAGCCAATCTATCTTACATTCCTAAGGCTGCCTCTCTACCATTTTCATACCTCGTGATTGTGTTGAACAAGAATGTCTTTTATTTCTCCCGATGACGGAACTTCTCGATACCAAAAACGGCATAGTAAGTTGCATTCGCTACTGTAAATTAAATACCCTCTCTGATGCTTAACTTGAAATTTGACGATGACCTCCGATTTAATTTTTGCTCAGATCAGGGAGAAATTCATGAGAAGAAAATCAATACAGAGAGTATTTTCATAGGCTCATATGTTTGCAGCGCTTGGTGGGCCCGCCTCGCGCAAGGTTTGTAATCAGAAATACACGGGTCTATCTCCATATGATAGGAAAATTTGAAGATGACATATGCAATTTTCTTTAGGAAAGAAAGGTAGAATGTGCAACACCTGTTATTAAATTGTCCTAAACTTAGAGATCAAAGAAACAGATGTTTTCAGGGCATAGAGCAAAGAACACTCCCAATATTATTTCGAACAAGGACAGGAAAGGAAGCTCTTCTCCAATATTTGGACACATACAAGTGCACAGTAGCACACAAAGAATATTAAAGTAGGAAACACCGATTGGAAATTAACAAGTACTTGGGTAAATTTTATATAAGGAAGGAGTTTGGGGGATATAAATTATGTTAACAATTTGTTTTAGCTAGATAACTGAATAGACTATGAATTAAAAAAATTAGCCCGCTCGCGTAACGCTTCTTTAGAGTTGCTATTTATTTGGAAATAGTTCTGAATATAGTAGTTGTCATAAGTTTTTCAGGGTGCTACAGAACCGGAAATATTTTTCGTCCAGTTCCGTGAATTGATAGATAGGATAATGAAAGTAGGAAGAATACATGAAATTAGCCAGATGAAGAGTCATGAGGGGTGTATCTTTAGATTTTTATTATAGTCCCTACTGAGTCTAAGACTATGGGGGATGGGGTGTATCTTTTTTGGTGGCAGATGTGGATGATGTTCGGGAACCAACACGATATCAGAAGCACAGGTATATTTTTTGATCAGGTAAAAAGGTGCTATATATCTAATAAATCTCTGACGGATGATAGACAACGAAATATCAAATTAAAGGCTCACTTCTGTATAGATATCGAGCAATAACCACCTAGTGGCGGAGGATCAAAGCAAAACACCTTTCAGTGGTGTTCCCTGTAAACCTGGGAGTGAAATATTACACAGAGCCGAGAGAGAGGTGTGCTTATTGTGCTACTTGAGTCTTGGACTATCTAGCACATTGGGCTCCTTTCTGACCCGGGCCATACCTTGTACAGTGCTCCTTACCTCTTTTGTTACTTGAAAGATCATCGATATATTCCCCTTGATGAATAGCCATTTAGCTCAGTATTTACCCGTGGAATTCGGCAACCTTTTCCACGGAACCTTCTACCCAGAAAAACAAACATGGTAGCAATGGAAATTGCGTGCGCTGGAAAAAGTCTCAAAAAATCTGTAGCCCCAGCCAGGCGAGGCCTAGACACCGGGACCACATGAAGTACGCATATTCATCTATATCTCCCTTCTTTGTAACATTTGAGGACATCTTAATCCCATCCACTATCTCCGTATCGAGTGCTAGGTACGCTCCGGAAACTCATCGGATGACTTTTCCTCCATGATCAATGGTCGGTGATGAGAGGGGCTTCGACCCTACCATCTGATCTGATCGTGGTTGGCTTCATGATAATGGTAATAGGAGGATGTACTTAGAGATGAAGACGAAATAGACCACGAAAGCGATAGGGAATCCTCATGGAAGTGAGGAGGATGTTACTCAATCTCGGCTCCGTAGACTCTACAGTGAGAGCTTGAGGTTCGTAGGGGACATCACTGACAGGTGTTGAAAATAGTCCCACAACAGAAATCTGGTCTTCTCCAATGTAATAGAAAATTGTTCAGCACTATAGGAAGTGCCAAAATCTACTTTTAGATTATGCAGCGGATTTAAATATGACTGTCGAACTCCCAATTAAAACGAAAAATATAGGATTTTTAAATAGTTTGTCCAACATAGTTATAGACTCAATTAGGACATAAATGGATAATAATAGTAATACAGTGTTAGGATATTAAGGAAGTAGAGTTACGGGAGCGATAATACACGGAGGGTAAAGTACAATATATATAGAATTTATAAGGTGTTGTGATAATATGGGATGACATACACAAATAAAGTACCAGGAGTGTGTACAGTTTTCACATCCTTAGTACAAAACACATCTTTATCACTCCGTACTTACAGTACCATATTACACATTCCCCACATATCGCATACTACCATCCGTAATATCTTACTCTCGTGACTCTACTTTCTCAATATCCCAACAGGTTATGAGACCGGTGTTTAATAATCCATCGGCTTCCGTTTGATAACAATCAACAACAATGTCTTCACTTACTACAGAAATAAAAGATACCCACAATCACGACGGTCCCCCAGTACAAATATAATTGGTGAAACATAGTAATTCTAGGACTTGGAACATTCACAGAGTGGCGGAGCACTTGCGCGATTGCCTTCAAAAACGCAGGCGTTTTAAAATCGCCGATGGCACTTGGAAGAGATTCATTGCTTTAGACTACGTACATGTGTTGGAAATGGAGACACGGAGTGTTGTGGACGTACGGGCCATCCATTTCGTCTAGGTTCCCGACACGATCTTTTTTTTTTTTTTTGCATCAGATTTTAATTGCGTACGCAACTATCTAGCTATGACACAATATCGGAGAAAATTACAGAATAGATGATTCAACGTAAGGGAAGAGCACTCATGCCTCAGATTTCATTTGCAAGTACCACTGCGAAGTTATGGTGGCTTTTTCTTCACCCCAAGTCAACCCTCATCCGTGAGTACCCACCCAGGGGAACGTCTCAAAAACCCCGAGTTATCCAGACATGCCTCTGTCATCCATCAACTTTTCTCCGCGCGAAATGTAATCTGAGATGTCTCCTTCCCAAGTGGAGTAGGTGCCCAGGCTACTCAGACTATACCGGAGAAAACCACCAGGAGGCGGACCACAACACCTTCCATCGTTTGCTTGTGTTTATAGTGTTAGCTGCACTCTCGCAAGTGAAGTCATGGCGCGCACAAAGCTCAATTCGTAAAACTCTTTCCAAAATTCGAAATTTCACGCCCGTCGAGAATGTATCCCTCTTCTGCATCATCTTGTAAACTTGTCCTGATCCCTCTCACGTACATCCCAGAGAGCTGTCTCCCAGATTTGTGCGCCACGCTTTGCTTCCTCCGTCGGGTATAAATATCGGCGTGGGCGTGTATTTGGCGATGAGCTGAGGCCAAAGAAAGTCGAAAAGAGGTGTGATCATTGAGATGAGGATGTACTAGGTCGTACTTGTAGACTTGATGAGACTTGGGTGGGGGTCAAACTCGTTGGTAATGAAAATTTGATGTGGTGGAGTAATTCGAACCGTTGCCTCGTGGGCCAACTTCTTTGATATTGCGAAATTTGACTGAAATTGGCTCTGTGAGAATATTTCACTCCCAGGTTCGTAGAGGACACCGTGTACAGGTGTTCAGTCTTGCCCTCTCCGACACGATCTTATGTGTATGTAAGAGGTTGGAATGAGCAATATGGTAGCGTTTCAGGCTACCTATTGGAGATATGAGCGGCTGTATGGCGTGGGCACAAGGAGGTTATTGAGGGTTCTCTGTGCCTGGATGGCGCCACACTCATTTATACTGTGGCTTAGGGGAGGGCAAGACTGAACACCTGTCAGTGGTGCTCTCTACGAACCTGGGAGTGAAATATTCTCCCAGAGCCAAGTTCAGTCAAATTTCGCAATATCAAAGAAGTTGGCCCACGAGGCAAAAATTCAAATTACTCCACCATGTCAATCTTTCACTCCCAAAGAGTCCAATTCTCAACTAAGCTTCATCAAGTCTACAAGTACGACATAGTACATCCTCATTTCAATGACCACACCTCTCGTCGACTTTCTCTGGCCTCAGCCGGTCACCAAATACACGCCCACGCCGATATTTATACCCGACGGAGGAAGCAAAGCGTGGAGCACAATTTTGGGAGATGGCTCTTTGGGACGGACGTGAGAGGGATCAGGACAAGTTTACAAGATGATGCAGAAGAGGGATACATTCTCGACGGGCGTGAAATTTCGAATTTTGGAAAGAGTTTTACGAATTGAGCTTTGTGCGCGCCATGACTTCACTTGCGAGAGTGCAGCTAACA